GGTTTGACTTGCACAGAGTTTAAGAGAGAGTGAAATTGTAGGGTGGAAATTTTTGTAGAGGAGAGAAATAATGTGCTTTTTATTGGGACAACTAAAAAAGGAAAGCATGAACTTTATTTAGGGACCTGGGGAATATATGTTTTTTTTAACTTCCAAGTATGCTTTCAGACTCAAGAGGTTATCTTGTGGATGAAGACGGGTTTGATTTCATGAAAATATCTTTCTTAAGAGACATCAAAGCTCAACATAGAAGCTTGAGGTTTGTATCTCTTCTTTGTTTGGTTCTATAGAACAGTGAGTGACATTGTGTTTGTCCAACTGTGTGGTGCTTATGATTAACAACTTCTTTCAGAGATTACTCTAAAACTTATGCTCGCTCAAAGTACTATGATGAGGTGAAGCCTTGGAATGAAAGGTGTGATGTGGCATTCCCATGTGCGTCACAAAATGAAATTGATCAAAGCGATGCGGTTGCTTTAGTAAATTCAGGTTGTCGCATAGTTGTGGAAGGTAGTGGACAACAATATTGTGAAATTTACAATCTTTTAATGGTAATCAATTTAAGCTGCTAATATTTATTGCATTGATATTCCTTTTCAGGATCAAATATGCCATGTACCCCCGAGGCAGTTGATGTTATGAGAAAGGCTAATGTTATAGTTGCTCCTGCTATGGCTGCTGGGGTAGGAGGGGTATGCTTTCTACTTCTCTTTTTTGCATTTGTTCATGAAAGTCATCTGTTTTTCGCATACAAGCTATATAGAGCATAGTTTTGAGAACCGGACCGGGGACCGAACCGGTCAAGGTACTGGTTCACTGGTTCACAGGTCAAACCAGTGGTTCAACTGGTCGTGGTTTAAACATATTTAAAAATTATATAAATATAAATATATATAAATATAAATATATATATATATATATATATATAAATATATATAAATAAATAAATAAATAAATAAATAAATAAATATATATATATATATATATAGACACACACACATTCTCATATATAAATACATAAAGAAAGTAATTTATAATATTTGACTAAAATTATATTAACATACTTGAGTTATTTTACTAAATTAAAAGATGAAATTTACATGTTAAAAATAATATTAAAATTTTATTAAAAACATATCAATGATTTTGTGTTTGACTCATAGCATATAATACTACGTATTATATTTTTAAAATTGAAAAGTAATCTTTATATAATCTTTTTATTAATTATGAAATATTAAAAAAAATTATACGAATTTGAAACAACAAACACCGTTAGTTGGATGGTTAGGAACTTAACCAAATAGCTAAGAGGTCTTGGGTTCAAACCTCCATGGAGTGAAGTTTTGGGAAAAAATTGTAAAAAAAAAACTGGTCGGACCGGTCCGACCGGCCGGTTCTTACCGGTTCACACCGGTTCGGACCGGTTCAAAGCGCATTACGGTCCAATGGGCCGGACCGGACCGGTTGGACCACCGGTTCGCCGGTTCACGGTCCGAACCGGCCGGTCCGGTCCGAGTTTTAAAACTATGATATAGAGTCATGCGATTATAATCTAGTTGAGTTGGTGTTATTTTTTTGGGTCGGTTAATAGTTACAGTTACCTCTCTAAGGTTCGGTTAATTACCAAAATTCTTTGGCCAGGTTTTTTATTTTTGCCAAAGCTCCCCCAAATCAACGTGTTACTAACAAATCATTTGAAATACTATATACAAATTGTCGAATTCCAAATATTCCTAAAAGGACAATTATGAATTCTTAAAACAAAAAAAAGGTTCTTTCATGTTTCAATGTACAAAATATTTGTTGTAGGAAGAGATAGAATGGGTAACTTTGGTGTTTTTAATGCATTTTATAGCTAAAATACTTACTTCCTTAGTCCCACTATTTTTGGGACATGAGAGGCACGGAAATTAAGAAACGTAATAGTGTGGTTGACATTGATGTCTAAACTCTAAAGTAAGATAAAATAAGCACAAATATGGCCAAATATTGGGATGGAGAGAGTATTATTTTCTCTTAAAGAACATTCGGGATGATACCACCATATCTTACTAATATCACTTTGTTCTATCATATTTCATTGGCTTTATGTAAAAAATTGACATTTCAAGGGACTTATTTGTAAATTATAAAAATGTCAAGGCCATTTGGTATTCTTACCAATCACGTGTGTGGGTGTGGGGAAGATGTCTTTAACCCTTGTTTTTCCCATACATTTCTCCTAGCATAGTTGTGAAAGGTGCACCAACGAAAGGCACACGGGCATGGGCCGCTTGGTGCCTTTTTCATATGCAAGGCAATTGATGTTTCTGATGCGTGCACCTAGGTGCGAGTCATTTGCTTATGCACATGCGGTGGGTGTGGATTAGGTGCACCTCACTTACACCCAACTTAACTTTTTTAAGGTAGTGCTTGGAAACTAGGAATTCAATTGAATTCTTTGATTTCAATTCTAAAATGTGGGGTTGGAATTTAAATTACAAAGAGGGAAGGGGTATGGAATCCAAATATGAGTTTAGGTCAAACATATAGTTTTGGTCAAGTTTGAAACTGGAATCCAAATATGAGTTCCCAAAGAGGCCATGATGCAATTCAAAATAGCACTTTTACACTATGTTTGGTTCAAGGAATTTGAAAAGGAAAAGAAAAGAAAATGAAGTGGAAACCATTTTTCTTGTTTGGTTAGAGGGGAAAAGAAAGGAAAAGTGGAAGGAAAAGAAAATGAGGAGGCAAAATGTACCAAGTGGAGGGAAAACCATTTTCTTTTCTTTTCCTTCCAAAATCCTTGAGCCAAACATAGTGTTAGGGTTTAAAGATACGTAGTTGGTAATGGTAAATATAGCTTTATGCCTCTGCCTCCTCTAGACTTATTCAACACCCACCAGTCTTCGTGTGACCACCTCCATACTCAACTTGAAACTTTGAAGTTCATTAAGCTTTATATATAATCTGTTGTATTATGTGTGTGGCCAGTTTGCGTTATTAGTATGGAACATATTAGTCTTTGTTCTAGACCATACCTCCATGGGGTTCTACTGGGTTGTTGTACTCTTTGTTCTTCCTTTGCACCTCTAAATTTTGTTGTTCTCTTTAACACGGGGAAGCCAAATGCCTTCCAGGTTGTTGCTGGGGAACTAGAACTGAAGGAATGCAACTTGAGCTGGTCTCCTCAAGATTTTGAATCAAAGCTACAGGTTTTTAGAACTGAAACCCAAGGATTCAACTGAATTCCTAGTTTCCACGCACTACACTAGGTTAATAGCGGTTGGGATTATCAATTGGCTTTTTGACACCAACTTCGTTTTCTTTGCCTTTCTTTTAAAATGACAGGAAGCAATGAAACTGACGTATGAGAGAGCTTTAAAAGCAGCAAATGACTTTGGGTACCAAAAAGAGAGTCCCGAGTAAGACTTGTATTATTAGACTATATACTTTTGAGTTGACTTACGTCCAATTTAACAGTGTGCACGGTAGATTAGTTTTTTCACTAAAGGTTTCTTGTTTTTTTTTTTGGGGGGTAAAAACTTGAGGTTTCTTCGGTATTACTCATTGCAGGGCATTGGTGCATGGAGCAGCAATTTCTGCCTTTCTTACCATTGCCAACGGCATGACAGATCAAGGCTGTGTATAGCAATTTCTGCCTTTCTTACTTATTTGCCCACTCACTCCCCCCCGACCTGCTCTCTCAACGGTGTGTTGTTTGTGTATCTTCTTGTATTGTTGAAGAAGAATGAATCAATGACCCACCCAAATTCGATACATCGATATATAGTCGTGATATGGAAATATGTAAAGGCTGGCTCTCTCTCTCTCTCTCTCTCTGACTGGTGGACCAATTTATTATTCATTTATAGTAGAAAGGTTTATCTGCAAGATTTGTATTGTACTGTATATTATTATTGTTAAGAATGAGGAACATTTGGTATGGGTTATTTTAGTTTTTTTTCTTCTTTTTGTGCAAACAATTTCAAAAAAATGTGGTGAATTATATTCTTGATTCTCAACGGGAGAGGAGTTCACGACCGGATGTGCTGCAACCTAGGGATCACAAGGCAGCTCTTTCGCTCGATAGGGATCGGGGGGGGGGGGGNTCTTGGGCATAGCATAATGTACTTCTACCTATTATAGCGTATTATAGTAAGTCGAGCATACATAAAAATGCGTGAATAGCTGGGAGGAACGAAGTTCCTCTTCTTATATTGACCATTGTGTGCTCTACAATACATGATCTTTAAGGAACAAAATTGTTAGTCGATTATTGTTTTATTATAAATATTTTTGAAAATTTGGTAAATGTTGAAATTAGTATCAAGCTAAGGTTGGTTGTAAATAAGTTGATGGGAAAACAATGATTTATCAATATATTGTGAACGATTTTGAAATTGTCAAAACACCAAAATTTTATTGTATTTGATTCATTTGTTGATTGATCATTTATGTAGGTATTTATAATAATATATGCACTCAATGCTACTCGGTAGCATATATTTTCATGATAATGGCATTTGATTCTTTAATAAGATTATTTAATATTCCGTATCATTTTGTAATAATACATTACAACTAAGGATACTCACAAACGAAGGAACACATGCCATTAAATGATTTTTCATAAAAATTTTCAACATCAATTGCATAAGAAATTATTAAAAGTATCTTGATGAAAACAATTTCTAAATTAAATAATATCATGATTAAAATTCAAAACAAATTATACTCTTCTTTATTTGCCTTAAAACAACAATTTTTTGAATTTATAATTTTTTTCGTCTATAAATTTACTATCCAAAAAATCATCCAAAATGTCAAGTTGAATATTGACTTGAAGTTGCACTTAAACTGCATGGGACTGTGGAAATAAAGAAAGAAACAAACTAGGCCTAAAAGACGGAATCGAAATTGGGACGCCCATTATTCTTTCAGCTACGCCTACGCCCATATATAGCCTAAAATGAATGTATTCTCATTCTCATATTCAAATTCTTCTGCAACTAGCTATAGCCCTCTTCTTCGGCACAAAAATTCTTCCTTTTTCAGCAATGGCAATTGTGTCTGAAAATGGATGGACTTCCACCGCCATAAACCCATTGCAGAAAACAAGACAGTCAACGACTCTGCCACGTGTTCCTCCTCGGAGTTCTTTGTGTGTCTCTTCTTCGTTCCCCTGAACACCTCACATCTATCTGTATCCGTCCGTCTCTTGTCGTTTTCTCTCCCTCTTTTTCATATTCTTTACCACTTGTATTTCTTTGCCATCCAAATTCATACACCTCGATCGAACCACCACAAAGGGCAAACGATTAAGAAAACCCAGGTGGGATTTGTGACCCATAACATTCAAAGCTTGAATCTTTTTTCAATTTCAGAAGAAATTTGTCAGCCTTTTCCCCTTTCTTCACAAGACAGAAATCCGGGTGCCCTTTTTATTTGGGTTTTAGGGGTTGGTGTGAAGAAGAGGATTTTGGTTGGAAATGAATGGGGATGGAGGAGGGGATAAAGGTTGTGCTTTTGAAATAGGGGTTGTGGTTCCAAAGAAACACGAAGATGAGAGCAATGAATGTGTTGAGGTTCTTATTGATGAGTTTCAAAAGGCGGGACTCCTTGTGGACAGAGTTGTTGGCATTCAAAATGAATATATTAAGGTCCCTTCACTTTTCTTGTTTCCTCTTGCCTCTTGTATTTTGTCTGGTTCAATCTTTAACATCATAACCTAAAGCTCAGAGTCTCAGCTTAAGCGCACACTTTTGTGAGCAATTTAGTTTGTTCTTAGTCTATGTTCTAAAAACCCTGGATAGGTGCCCCTGTTCTAGCATGTTGGTAGGAAAAGCTACTTCGGCGTGGCTTGGTTAGATGCAATGTGGTGTAGTCAAATGCACATTTTTGGTGAATTTACACTAAAAAATATACTCCCTCTGTCCCATTCTGTTTGGGACAAAGACTTTTGCCACATCGACCAAGGAAAAGAGAATTTTGCTGTTAGCACTCCATATCTATAGTGTGAAGTATTCTTAAGTTATATGAAGGTTGAAAAATAAGGTATGTGAAATACACTTTGGAATGGAAAAATGGGACAAATAGGATGCGGCGGGGAGAGTATTTGATTAAGGCATGCCACAAGTACTTTGGAATATACTAAAATGGGAAAATGGAACAAACATGATGTGACAATGGGGGATTTGATTACAGTACTTGTTATGACATTCTTCCCAATCTAGGTACGGTATTGTTTGCATTGTGTAGTTATCGACTATTTTTCCAGCTGGCAGCATCATTGCGTGTTCTGGGACAGGCTGCAGCCGAGTTGCGAATGAAGAAACGAACTCATATTGGTAATATACTTAAATGCATTCCATTGCGGCTCTACATATATATGCTTGTTGGATTTTGTGATTTCTGGCGTATGAGTATTTGTTTTGAAATATCAGGAGTGGACTTGCAGTTTGAATGGGATGAAGTTGAAGCATTTTCCAATCAGCCCGATGGTTCCTTGTTCAGTTGGTCCGAGCGTTTCAACTGCTATCATTACTTGCTGTATAAAATTGTGAGTTGGAAATTTTCCAAAATATAATACTCCGTACATAGTAAGAGTAATAATAATAATTGTGAGTTGGTTATGTTTGATTTTACTTTAGAAAATGCAAAGGGAAATGGAGTATGGCTGTTTTTCTACAAACTATACATATATTTAGATTCCTTAGCCTCTATACAATAGACATATACATAGAGTCATAGATTAATAAAAAGAGGTTTGCCTATCTTTTACTTCCACCTCTTTTTCTTTCCTTCCAATTGACATTCCCTAGTACTCCATCCCAAAAATTAAAAGTAGCTTTTTTAAGATAAATGTTGAAAACTGAAGTGTGTTGTTAAAATTTGTTTAGAAGAAAAAGAAAATATTGGGAGCCACATAGAAATGTAAGGAAGTGTTGCTTTTATTTTGGGACGGAGGGAGTATTAAATATTAATTTTCCCCATTCCATGGACCTTTAACTCTTAAAGCATCCAAGTTTTGAACTTGGAATTCATTTGACATGTATTCATTTTGATCTAAATTGTTAGCTATAATACAATCAACACCCTTTTGTTTGATGTCATCTTCACATATCTTATGTGTCAGTGTTACTCTGTATTTCTAACATTATGTTTCACAAGGAAATAAAGCAATAAGAGAAAATGCCATTCATGATGTCACTTTTGCTTTGCACTGTTTTCTATACTCTCTAGGCTGCTCATTTCACACTCAGGCAAAAAAATTACAGGTGAACAAGGGCGAGTCGGTTAGGACATTAGCTGCTGGCTGCGAGGAAGTTCAATGGGAGCCAGGAGAATCACTACTTAGAAAATTAGAATTTGAGGGGATTGTTAAAGAAGTTTTCCCTTTGCATGGTATATACAGTTTCACATTCTTCAGTTATCTTTTAATTTATTCTTCAATTATTATCTTAGTAGGTTATCTGAAAATGTTAAAGACTTTCTAGAAACTTTGATACACTAAGCGTTATGATTACGAGTGCATTTTTTAAAGATGAAACGAAGAGGAAGAAACTTCTTAAAAGTTGGGCACTTAACTGGTGGGACCTGACAGCGCAGCCCATTGACAATATCTGTTCATATTATGGAACAAAGGTGAATTCTGGTTTTTTTTTAATCTAATGTTTAGGGGTGATCACACTTTTTGTTCATAGTTTTGCGCAACTAGAATTTCATGCATGATTACAAATTGACACTTTTTTTTGCGTTCAAACAGATTGCTACATATTTTACATTTCTTGGGATGTACACAAGATGGATGCTCTTTCCTGCTGCATTCGGACTGGCAGTACAGTTGGTTGATTTTGGGTAATGTTATTCAAAAATGGAAGTTTTTATTTTAATTTTAGTCTCTTGTTTATCTCATATATTAAACATCTTAGTTCCATTTTCATTTATGTTCTTTCTCCTCCTGCAGATCTTTGCAGATGTTTGTTCTTCCTGCTTTCTTTATATGCCTAGTCTCATGGGCAGTATTGTTTTTGCAGTTCTGGAAACGTAAAAATGCTGCTCTTCTTGTCAGGTAACCTCATATTTTTTGTTCCAAAAAGACAAATTTGTATGGAATAACATGTGGATTGAAAAATACAGAGTAGTCCTTAAGCCACAAAGCCCTTAAACTAAAATCTCTATGGTTAGATCAGTTATTGTCAGTTTCCGTTATGGTCAGTTTGGTTTCAGTTTGGCAGTTTGTTTCAGACCTACTTGAAATTCTGGAAACAAAAAATAAGGTAGCGTTAAACATAGAAACAGAAAATTAAATGCACAGTTGCACGCCACAAATAGAAACTTGACCATCGGTAGCTGTTTATTTCTCTACCCTTTTGAACAATACATGGTATCTCTATTACCAATTTACCATGAATGGAGTTAATACTATTATTATTGAGTTTCATTTATGGGTGGATAAATGAATAGGTGGCAGATAAATTACCCAGTTGGAGGATATGGTGAATTTAAATTTGTGGAGAGAGAATGGGGTCTGTTTCAGGCCCCGGCAGAGCTCGCGAAGCAATGGGGGATTGATAGCACAAAAGAGAAAGAAACATCCCAAAGAGAGGAATGGTTTGGGAACTTGATGAGATTCAGAAATGATGCATTGATTATACTGAGCATTATCTGTCTACAGCTGCCGTTTGAACTGGCTTTCGCTCACCTCTATGAGGTTTTAAGCTCTGATATATTGAAGTAAGCATTCATATTACTTTTTCCGATTATGAGTGACTATTATCCACTCATTTAACTTTTATCCCAGTAAATGGTAAAGGTTTAATTTTCATTAATCGGTACTCGGTATGTTATTAATCAAATCCTTTTTTCCCAAAGGAGCTAGCCAAAACTTTTATTATTTTCAACTTACCATCATTTGATTCTTCATTGCAATTTCGGTTAGTTTAGCTCATTTTGACTTCCCAGTTCCGAAAATCTTGATTTCGGGCCTTGAGTTTCTACCATGTTCTCCCATTTTTTTTCTCCAACAATTTCCATCACTAGATCAAGTCCTTGTCCGTGATGTTTTTACTTTTTACCATAATGTCTTTGCATATGCTTGTTTTCAGGTTTGCTCTGACAGCTATATACCTCCTTGTCATCCAGTATTTCAATGGAGTTGGAGGCAAAATATCTGCCAAACTTGTAAAATATGAGGGCAATAAGAATATAGAATATAGAGCTGACAGTTTGGTTTACAAGGTGGGTAACAAGAGTCTCTTTTGTGTGCACTTGCACCTGCCTGTGTGTTATTATCCATAAACTTTCCTTCCCTTGCAGGTCTTTGGTCTTTACTTCATGCAAACATACATTGGAATTTTCTATCATGCCCTTTTGCATCGCAACATTTTGACACTTCGTCAAGTTTTGGTTCAGCGTCTAATTTTATCAGAGGTAAGTGGGATATCAGAGAATCACTTCGCTTCTGTTTGGTGCATTGTAGAAATTTTCCAGTTTACCACATTTGTTAGGTCATTCCCACATTAGGACTCCTATTTTCATTTTTTTTTCACATTTGGTGCACAACTATGGACTTCTTGCCACTTTTGGTCCTTTTCAGTCACGTATTTGGCAAAAATCAACTGGAATTTGCATGGAAATGGGTTGACTTAGGTGATGGAAAAAATCAGTAGTGGCAAGAAGTACATAGTTGGAAGTCAGAGAACGAAACAGAAATTACCTAGTAGTCATGGGATCAAAAGTCGAATATGCTCTTTGATTTGTGTTCGAGCCTCAAACATCTATCTGATTATTCTTTGTGTTATCTCTTTATTTTTTAGGTGCTTGGTAATCTGGTGGAAAATTCTTTGCCTTACTTAACATATAGCTTTAGGAAATATCGAGCAGTTAGGTAAGCTGTTTCCTTTTGTACATCAAGTTTATTCCCTTCCTTGTTTTTGTGGGGTTTCCAAACACCTAATGTTTAATCACACTCGAAGGAAAAACAAGAGAAAATCTGATGGAGCACTGTCCAAAGCAAAAATCCAATACTTCTCAAGGATAGAAAAGGAATACCTTAAGCCAGTTTATTCTGCAAGCATTGGGGAGGAGCTTGAAGATGGACTATTTGACGGTATGTTTTGAAGATTCACTCCATTTGATATAATTATGCCGTGCAGGTTTGGCACTTGAATTTGATTTTATTGCCTCACCTCATATTTCAACTGATGCTATCATTACTAGATTTTCTGGAATTGGCACTGCAGTTTGGAATGATCATGATGTTTGCTTGTGCATTCCCACTCGGTTTTGCCTTTGCTACATTGGTATTCACCTTTTCTTCTTTGTATTTTATTTATTCCCTCTGTTCTAAAAATCCCCATGTAGTCCCTGATTAGTCTCTAGGCATTCCTTTCCCACTTATATTTTATTTCCCCAACCCGCCCCGCACTCTACTAATATATTCCGTATATAAGTAGCAACAATGACAAAATCTGAACTCCATTGGAGTCTGGGGGTAGCCTTATCCTTATAAAAACAAATAGACTGTTCCAATGAGACCCCCTAGATGGATTGCTGCAATGTGTGTTAATTTTATTGAAAGTGAATTGGGTTAATTCCAAAGATTCAATTTTGCTTGATGCTGCAGAACAACATAACTGAAATCAGAACAGACGCGCTTAAGCTCTTAGCCATCTTCAGAAGGCCGATTCCTCGGCCAAATGCCACGATTGGTGCTTGGCTTAATATATTTCAGGTAAATCCGCTTTATCATCATAAGCTTCATCTGTCACTTGCATGGTCTGTAATTGATAATGTGATGTTTGGGCTTCAGTTTCTGATAGTGATGTCCATATGTACAAACTGTGTGCTTCTGGTATGCTTATACGATCGGGAAGGAACCTGGAAAATGTCACCTGGCCTTGCAGCAATCCTCATAATGGAACATGTTCTGCTGTTGATAAAAGCTGCTTTTTCTCACCTTGTTCCCGCTGTAAGTTCCATGTTGAGATCAATGATTTTGAGTTCAATAAAATCAGTCCCTTTTCTGTCCTACTCCCAAACACACTCTCGTAAATAACGGGCAGCATTTCTCTCTTTATTTAAATGATATAGGAACCGGAGTGGGTGAGGGCAAACCGTGCAAAGAATGCAAGCTACGCACAGGATATGTGTTCCCGCCAGCTTCTGAGGAGTATTTCTAATGAGAAGATGCACAAATGCAAATGACAATGATGGATATGTTGGTTTGAGAATCATATCAATATTTTTGTAGCAAAACTGGTTTCTGTTCAAATGTGTAAGCTAAGCTTCATTTGAACCCAAGGGTTAGTGTCATCCTATATACAACTTGTTATCAATGTCAGGAACCACACATAGACCAGATATATGAATCCATAGGAATATGGACCAATAGTTCTGCCACCAGAAATGGAAAACTTTCATAATAAAATCTCAATCTAAATGCTTCTGCGCTCATTTGCACATATCCTCAATTGCTTCTTAGTATAAATACATCATGCTTCAAGACACTGAAGGTCCAAAAGGGAAACAACATAATGGTCAATGTAATTACAAAGATATGAAAACTGTTGCATTTGCAGCCAGCTCCCTTTGTACTAGCTGCAGCATAAACTAAAACTAGAGACTGAATATGGCTCAAACTATCACAATTCTAAACCATCGAAGCCTAACAACTGGATAACCATTCTTTACACCTCAACTAATGATGTTACACGGTTTATGTACAGCAAGCTAAAACGGGCAAAGAACAAAGATAAATCTCAACCAATGGCGGGACTGACCACCGGGTGCGTAGACATATTTGGACTGTTCAAATCTTCACTAAGTCTGCTGAACACTACTTTAAGAGAGACACAAGCTACAGCAGTCCCTTTTAGTTTTGCCAGTGATGTTGACACTTCCTTGCCTTGATTTTGCTTCTGAAAACCTGTTAATGAAGACAACATCCTAATCTTCTTCTTTGAAAATTGACAGTTTTTCTTTGATTTCAATGACTTTGTTGTAGATACACGGTCCTTAGTAGGAGCCCTAAAACCACCCGAGCGCTGCACGGTATGATCCAAGTCATGGTTGCTGCCTGAACCCGACCCGATGTCTTCCAACACCTCAACTGTGATTGGGTGGCCCACGATGGGTCGCCCGTTTAGTTTGGTCATTAACGAAACATACGGAACATGCTGCGCACGATAGCTGGACTTAACCTCCACCTTAACATCATACAATGAGGAATCTGATATATGATGATGCCTTGGAGGGAAAGCCGAAGAGTCATACTTTGGGTTGACCAAAAAGCGGGACTGGCGGTAAGGCAGTAACCTCTGTGGCGTGGGCAACTCGCTTGTGACTGCTCTTGACTTGTGATCTATAGGGCATTCTGAAACAGTAACAGCTTGTTCGGTTACTTAAGCGTGCAGATATGGGGAAAAGAATATTTGAAAAATACTCCTCTTTCCTAGCCTTTTCTGGTATCCAAAGATACCCTTGGGCCTTGAAATAACAAAGCAAAGCTGAAAGAAAGCCTCTTTCCTGGTTCTCCCACCAACCAAACGACCCATAGAGACAAATTAGATATGACCTTCTTCTCTAGGCCTAGGCGAACTAGGCATGAGCCTAGAGTCCCTGATTGTTTTGGGTCTCGAATTTTTTAAAATAGTTCTGAAGCATGCCATCATATACTGATATATGTAAAGCCAAAGGTCTAAAGTTCAAAAGCTCACCCCATTCAAGTCATAAATGTCTTGATGGTCAAATATTATTATCAGCTATGTCCTATCTCACTCCCCATTAGAAAGACCCCTAATTAATTTGCCGCCCAGAAAAGCAAGGGCATATCCATTAATACCTGCCAACTTTGCTGCATAGGATTCACCGCCATCCAGGTTAGTATTTTTTCCTATATACCGCTTTTTGCTTTTATTTACATGCCTTGAGTTCCTCTTTCGTTTAGACTGCCACTCCGACGTCCCCTTTTCCCTACACTCGTTGATTTCTGGATGAACCTCGGAATGCTTTTCTTCTGCCACAAATGGAACATCAGACAATGAATCTAAACATCCATCCTCAGGCAACTGCGGAATGCTCAGAATCTCATTCCCAGCAGCAATGAGTGTCCCATTTTCACATACATCAGAAGCTGCAGAATCACTTGGGCTAGAAATTCCTTCACATGCAACGGGAAATGACACTAGAACAGTACTCCGCATCATTGGACGTCGGCGGCCCTTCTTTTTCAGAACCTTGCAAACATGGGCCACTGCAGATCTCTTTCTCTTGAGTGACTTTGTCCCCAAGTCATCAAGATCTTGCATGTGTTTACCTCTTTCATCATCTGAATCATTTTGGGCTCCTTTGGAACTCTGAAAATGCTAGGGAAAGAAAATACATGAGGAATTTGAAGCGAAATAAAGCTTGAGGGAAAGTAAAACACTGGTACAAAAACTGCACTCTTTCTTTTTTTAATTTTAAGTTAACATAAAGACGGCAATGAAATTCCAAAAATATGTAAAATTTTGAAAAAGATACTCCCTCTTGGTCCCGTAAAAAGGCTTCACATTTCTTTTTTTTTGTTTGTAATAAGGTTTCAATTTCCATTTAAAGAAATGATTGTATTGTTCATATCATTTCTCTCTTCTTGCACAGCCCTCAGCCACTCAATTTCACATCTCCTAATAACCGTGCTAGCCTGCCAGGTCAAATGTGGAACCTCGATTCAGGACGGAGGGAGTGATTAGTATAAGTCTAAACACAAGAAAAAAAGCTTTTTTTGCATGTTTTTTCCTTTCCATGTCATTTTCTGTGATCCAAACTTACCTTTGGGTTCTGTCCCCTATCCTCCACGGGTTCCTCATCAATGGATACACCAGATTGAGATAAAGCACTTGAATTGTTGTTCTCAGAACTTCTGCTACTACCACAATCTTCTTCTTTTTTAGTTATAGCACCCGCTTTATTTTTCTTATCATCATCTGACCTTGAAATGAAGCTAGGATTATGTTTTCCAATATAAGAACTTTCAATCTCAAGGGCCTGAAGAATGGCGTCATCCCTGCGTGCATATTTCACTAGCTTTCTAGAAGCATTGGCTGTTGAGGCCTTAGCTTTCTCGATGCAATCATCATACTCCCCACAACGGAATGATTTCACTCGCTTTGACTTCTCAAGATTATACCAGTCCCTGCAACAATATACACAACATTAAACTCCACCACACTCTTTTTTTAAAACTCAGAAGAAGATTATTTTGAAGTGAGAATAGCCCATCATCACCACCACCTTAATCTCAACTATTGACTTATTGTTGGGGTTAGTAACACGAAACTTAATTGGCCAACTAATGTCAAAAAATTAGTAACACTACCATGTACTCCGTATTAATTAGACACCCTTCTTATGAATGAATAATGAGATGAAATTCCAAATCCGTATCATCATAGGTTTTATTTCAAATTATATGGAAAATATCATGATGTGGTTGAGTTGAAATAGCTCCAATGCTCATGACCCATTACATGATTGATAGTCCCTCTTTGCCAATAAAACCCCAGTTTCAAGAACTACGGAGTATGTATTCTCTGAAAAAAAGGTGTCCAGCTTGAAAAGTGAACTTCATTTTTCAAGTGAAATTCCTGTGAAGCCAAGCATCAATAGCTTTCAGCCAAGTGCTTCGGTATAATCTTGAAAATATGTGTCCGGGTACAAACGACCATTTATAACTTGTACTCTGGTAAAAGATTGTACCTTGATTGAGTTAAATAAAAATAAAAATTCATACATTAGTTAGATGTGATCCTTTTTTAGACAGGAGTATACTGTAAAATCAAAGCACGCACACACACACACATGTATTTATTATAAAACTACTCCATATATACCAAACCAAACTAACCCATTAATTGAGATTACCTGAACCAAACACCCCTTCCCCAGCCCACCCTAAGTACTAACTGAACTGGCATGGTGCATCATAAGGGATTTAGCTGATGATACTTCCCCTACTGACTGGTTCATCCACAAAACTCAAACCACAAAAAGCAAACTTAATTTATTTATGATGAACAACCAAAACAGAACACCAACTAAAAAAAGAAATAGCTTTAAAAAAGAGGAGTTAAAATAACTTACACACTTGAATCCTCTCTCCCAAGGAGCTTAACTGGAGTCCCTGATCTTGGGGTGATCATATTGTTCTCCGGCAAATCATCCACCCCAACAATCCGACCCGGCCACCACGACCCATTTCTCCTGCGGATCCAGACTAAACCACCAGGCGAAGCATTGATGGATTTCGTGCCAGACTCCCCAGAGCTCCCCATCGCCATCCCCTCTTATCACAGCCGCTGAAATAAGGAGGAAAAACGAACAGTCCGGAAAACCCCAACTTCAAGGAAGCATTTCTGAGCACAAAGACGAGACAAGACTTGGCCGACCTCCGGATGGGTGAAACATGAACATACCATTGGGGGGGAAAAAGCAGGAAACTTGTGAAAAGAAATTTCAAACCTTAAATGCACCGAACAATGCAAACTCTGGATGAAAATGAATGCTCTAGAGAGACAGAAAATAGAGAAATGAAATCAAGTCAATAAATGGAGGAAACCCATAGAAAGACATACGGTGAAGAAAGATAGATCTAGGGATGACAAAAGAAACTAAAAAGAAATAAAAAAAAATCGATCTTTCCTCATATTCACACACGAAGATACTCAAATACTTAGTTTTCCCTCTGATTCATCAAGTCTGATAGCTGCTAAGGTTCACAGGTAACTCGTTTTTATTCCACCCAGGACGGCGAGGATTTCCTTTGGGGTTTTTTGAGCTTCACAGATAAGAAAAGATCAATGCAAAAAAAAAGTAGGATGGAGAACCGAGAAAGAGGAGCTGCTGCGGGGATGTTAAGAGTGTTTCATATTGATGACCATGAATAAAGAAACAGGGGAATTGAAGGTTGGAGTATCCCTTCTAAAATGGATCGGACCGTGTATCCTCTTCTTCTTTTTTTCAACACAGAGAAGTAAGTCAACGAGAGGGAGATAATGTGAAAACACTGACTGCGGCACTGCACATGATGAGTGAGGTGAAAGTCATCTTGGGAGCATCTCAAATAAATTTGCTCGTATATACGAAATTGATAGAACTAGAATTAAATTGGAATTGAAATTTCATTGGATTTAATTCCATAGAATTGAATTATATCAATTTCAATTCATTTTTTGCACTATCAATTCCAAATTTACATAATTTTTGTACTACCAAACACCAAAATTGGGATTGAAACCCCCAATCCCAATTTCATAATATGAATTCTGTATATCAAACGGAGCCTAAAAGAAATGGGATAGTAAACGTCATTTTAGCAAACAAATATTCTCTCCGTCTTAAAATGATTATCTCAGTTCGATTTATGAGATTTGACTAAAATAATTCTCAATTTAATTTATTTAATTATAAGTATAAAATTAAATATTAAAAATTATATATTTTAAAACTACATCAAAAGATCTACATAACAAGAGATGTCATAACTATTGATGGGTAATAACCCATGGATACCACCCGGTTGGTTCGCCCGACTGGGTGGTGATGCAAGTGACAGCACGCGCCCTTCTCGGCCCGGGTTATTTCACCGGGTAGATGGGAAGGTCGGACGCCAATAACAGAAGACCTATTTTCCGAAGTACGCCTGGTTGACCGGTCAGCCGCCTGACCGGCTGGATAATCAGATACGTGCTTGACGTGCTTAGGATTATTATAAATACTCTTAAAAGCCTCATTTGTGAGGCATGCTTTAATTAATCCACACGGCCTGTATTGATTGTAATAAGTTCCTACTTTCATTAATAACAAGCCGGGTTACAGGTGTTTCCACCTACAACCCTCCCGATTACTTATACTTAGCGTTTGCGTGGTAATTTACTCCATCAAATTGGCGCCATCCGTGGGACCTATTACAAAAAGTCATGACAAGTAATCAGGAAACCGTCATCTCACAAATCTCTACTCCCGTTGAGAACGTCGCCTCGTTCCTGGGAGGGAGTGCACAACCCTCAAACCAGATTCCTACCCCCATCATCACCATTCCAACACCTACTCCATTCACTTCCCCCGTCACCTCTATCCCTATTTTTTCTCCAAATTTTCCCAGGCCCGTGGACCCGCTGTTTTCACAGGCATTCCAAAATTTTGGGCAGTTCATGTCCATGTTTCAACAGCCGGGAGGATTTTCACCTTTCATTCTCGGGTTATACCCATAATCCTTGCCCCAAACTAATATCATTCGCCCGGTCGCTCCAACAAACCTGATCGGAGAGATGGACAAAGCTGGTCCGTCCTGGTCCAGAAGGAGTCGGTCCCGAAGGTCACGCACGCAGATCACGCCTGATGGCGATGTGCGATCAGTCCATAGCAGGGATGAGGATTGGGATGTACCCCAGGCACAAAAGAAGCTAAAGGGAAAAATTATTCAACCTGAAGGGTCCAGGAGGTTAGCGTTTCAAAGGCTTGGCCATGAAGGCCGAAATCAAAACCGGCCTGCCAAAGAACGACTAGGGGTGGAAACAACCCCGTTGAGTGCTTTTGATCGCCTGGGTAGAGGGGCCGAGCGACCTGGTCAGACCAGGTGCACGAAACCTCCCCATCGCGAAGAGCCCCAACATAGCCGGGCGCCCCATGAAGAAGAAGCGGAGAGCCATCCTAGGCACATGTTCCGCTCCCATGTTGAACAACCCCGGGATCGCGTGGGCCGGGTCGAAGCACGTTTGGAAAAGTTGCAGCGCCGGGTGGACCGGGACGAAAAGAAGAAAATCCTGCTGAACGAATCTCCATTCACAGACCGGGTTCACGAGACCCCATTTCCAAAGAAAGCAAAGTTGGAGGTCCCGAAGTTTACTGGGAAGGAGGACCCGGAAATACATGTCAAAACCCTTCATCAAAGTGGAAGGATGATGGGCCTTTCCGGGGACGAAAAATGTTTACTTTTCTTCCAAACCCTCCGCGGCCGAGCCGCTGAGTGGTTTCATAACCTACCGGCCGGTGAGATCGATTCTTTCGATGAGCTGGCCGAGGTGTTCCAAGAGAAGTTCAAGGAAAATTGCACCAAAAGGAAAAAGTTTACCTACTTGAGCACGGCTGGGTAGAGGGAGCACGAGGATTTAACGAAATTCCTCACCCGGTGGAAGGATGAGGTTGATAAAGTCGAGGAGATGGACGACAAAACCGCCATGTCCCTCCTAGTGTCTGGACTCCGGTTCGGAGAATTGTATAAAGAGTTCTGCAGGAGACCTCCCCAGTCATACCAAGAGGCCTACAACACGGCCTGGGATTATGCTGACGCCGAAGCACAGGTGTCATCCAAGAGGGAGGCCGAGCAGGGCCATTCCAAAGGAAAAATTTCCTTGAAAAAGGAAATTGAACAGCCTGGGAAAGCGAAGGCGGAAGTCATGGAGGTTAAGCCAGTCAAATCAGAAAAGAACCCGACTGGCGAGAAACAATGGACGGAGAAGTATTGCTCCTTCCACAAAACTGAATCCCATAACACTGCGGAGTGTAACAGTGTGAAGGGAGTAATTAAGCAGATGATCGAGGCCGGGGAGATCGATCTTGAGTATCTAGCTCAGGCCAAGCAAAAGAAAAACCAATGGATCAGGCTTGAAGGGAAGCCGGTTGAACAGAATAAGAAGAAGAAAGCACCCGGAAAAGAGCATTTGCAGGTCATCTACGGTGGACCGGAAGGGGGAGACTCCGCTTCCCAAAGGAAGAAATGGGGCCGAGAGCTCTACGTCGGGACAGTGGCCCTAAATCCTCGGTCAAAACAGGCAAGACGAGAGCCGATCACCTTTACTGACCGGGACCTCCCCGCCACCGGAGAAGATCATAATGACCCCTGGTCATAACTATGGACATGGGTGGAGTCGATGTCTCCCGGGTACTTGTTGACACGGGCAGTAGTGTCAATGTTTTGTACTTGGATGCATTTGAAAAGCTCAAGTTGTGTCGGACACGGCTTGAGCCCTTAAAGACTCCCCTGTCCGGGTTCACCGGGGACTCTGTTGAAGCTGAAGGGTCAATCCTTCTGACTTGTGAGTTGGGCACAGGAGACCAGGTCGTCCAAAAACAAATGAGGTTTGTGGTAGTGAACATCAAATGTGTTCACAACGCCATCCTAGGCCGGCCTGGAATAAACAAGGTCCGTGGAGTCATCTCCATGGCCCACCTCTGCATGAAGTTCTATACCCCTGGTGGTATCGGACAAGTGAGAGGAGACCAAAAGAAGGTCCGGTCTTATTACTTGGAGGCCTTAAAGAAAATGACCAAGGCATTTGAGAGGGTTACCTTGGTTTCCCAGGAAGAAGAGCGGTCAAAACTGGAGCCGTGTGATGAGACCGAGCAGATTGTTCTCCGGGAGGCTTTCCCGGAAAGGATGGTGCGGATTGGCCGGGATCTGCCCAGGGGACTTCGAGAGGAAATCATCTCAGTCCTCCGGGAATATGCAGAGATTTTCGCCTGGAGTGTAGCGGACATGCCAGGCATAGACCGTTCTGTCATATGCCACCGTTTGGCTGTGATGGAAGGTAGCCGGCCTGTGAAGCAGAAGAAAAGGCACTTGGCAAGCGCCCGAAGGGACTTTGTGAAGAAAGAAGTGAAGGATTTGCTGGCGGTCGGGCACATAAGGGAAGTACAATACCCGGCCTGGTTGGCAAACGTCGTCCTGGCACCGAAAGGCGACACCTGGCGCATGTGCGTGGACTACACGGATCTGAACAAGGCATGCCCCATGGATTCGTACCCGCTGCCCAGTCCCGATCAGATGGTCGATGAGACGGCCGGGTGTGAGTTGCTGAGCTTCATGGATGCCTTCAAAGGCTATCATCAGATCTTCATGGCCGAGGGAGACGAAGAGAAAACCTCTTTCTTAACTCTCTGAAGGCACTTATTGCTACCGGGTGATGGCCTTTGGACTGAAGAACTCGGGCGCCACTTATCAGAGGATGGTAAACCGGCTTTTTAAGCCACTCCTCGGTAAGTCCATGGAGGCATATGTAGATGACATGCTGATCAAGAGCCCGAGTGCGGAGAGCCACCCGGCCGACATGAGGCTCTGCTTTGAGATTATGGCTAAGTACGACTTGTGCCTTAACCCCAAGAAATGCGTCTTTGCTGTAAAGACCGGAAAGTTTCTGGGGTTCATGGTAACCAAGCGTGGTATTGAGCCTAATCCTGAGAAGATTAAAGCCATAACCGAGATGAGATCGCCCAGTTCATTGAAGGAAGTGCAACAACTGACCGGGCGGTTGGCAGCTTTGAGTCGTTTTCTCTCCCGTTCCGCCGAGAAGGCTCTACCTTTCTTCAAAGTTCTGAAGAAGGCAAATGCGTTCGAGTGGGACCGGGAGTGCGAGGAAGCTTTCCAGCAGCTGAAAGAGTATTTAGTTTCTGATATAGTTTTGTCCAAACCCAAACTGGGTGAGACTTTGTACTTGTATCTAGGAGTTTCCCAAAACGCTGTAAGCTTTGTCTTGATAAGAAATGAAGACGGCCAGAGGCCTATTTACTATGTGAGCAAAGCACTTAATGGGGCAGAAAGTCGGTACACTGCCATTGAAAAAACAGCATACGCACTCTTCATAACGGCCAAGAAACTGACCGCGTATTTCCAAGCTCACACTGTGGAAGTACTAATCGATCAGCCACTCAGACTGGTCCTTCGAAATTCAACCTCCTCGGGAAGATTGATTAAGTGGGCGATGATGCTCACTCAGTTCAAAATAGAGTATAAACCACGGACCGCAATCAAAGGTCAAGCTTTGGCAGACTTCCTCGTTGAACTGACCGGTCTAGAGCCCGAAGCCGGACCTTCCCATACGATCGAATCGTGGTGGGATATGGCCGTTGATGGGGCCTCTGGACCGAAGGGATGCGGGGCCGGCGTAGTTTTCACTACCCCGGAAGGATTCAAGATCTACCATGCCTTGGTTTTTAATTTCAAACTCACCAATAATGAGGCATTGGCCGGTGGTCTCATATTAGCCCGGGCTCTCGGGATAAAAAGGATGAAGATCCGTTCCGATTCAAGTCTGGTCGTTGGACAGGTCAATGGTGAGATGGAAGAGTTTCATTTGACCAGGATACCCTGGTCAGAAAATACTGATGCAGATATGCTCTCAAAGTTGACGCAAGCTTGCCCGGAGCATGTGTCAAAGTTCGCAAAAATTGAGATACTGGACGTGCCGAGCGCAGACCGATTTGAAGTGGCGGCTATCCAACCCGGCCAGACTTCAGCAACCGGGATAATCGGAGAAGATGATGACTGGAGATACGATCTCATGGAGTATCTGGAGACCGGTCAGAAACCGGATGATGAAGAACGGGCCAGGAAGGTGGTCCTGCGGGCTCCTCGTTTTCAGGTAATCGATGGTCACCTGTACAAACGTGCCATTGGCGGACCTCTCCTACGTTGCCTTACCAACCCGGAGGCTGAGCGGGTATTAGCTGAGGTACATGAGGGAGTTTGTGCAGCCCATCAAATGTCCCGCACTTTGGCTCAAAGAATTATATTGCTTGGCTACTATTGGCCGACCATTATTGGGGACTGTGAGCGGTATGTTCGGAAGTGTAGGACGTGCCAAGTTTTTTACAAACATCCCGGCAGACCGGCCACATACTACCAACCCACGTCCAATGTCTTACCATTCGCCCGGTTTGGGATTGACATTATGGGAGCTTTCCTGGTCGCCCAAGGTGGGAAGAAGTTCGTGATGGTGGCGATTGATTACTTCACTAAATGGGTCGAGGCTGAGGCGATGGCTACCATAACCGTACGGCAATGTGAGAAATTTGTGTGGAAAAACATTATCACCCGATTTGGTGCCCCAAAGATCATTGTTACCGACAACTGTCCACAGTTTCGCAACCCCCGGTTCACTGCATACCTTGCTAGCTTCGGGATCAAGCATAGCAAGGCATCGGTAGCATATCCACAAGGAAATGGCCAAGTCGAAAATGCTAACCGGACAATAGTAGACGGGTTGAAAAAGAGATTGGGTGAGGAAGGACACAAGTGGTTGGAAGCCCTACCTCATACAGTCTGGGCACATCGAGTGACTTCAAGAAGGGCAACTGGAGAGACTCCTTTCGTGCTCACATACGGATGTGAAGCCCGGCTACCAGTAGAGGCAGAAATTCCAACATTTAGAGAAACCGTGTACCAGCCCGGTCAGAATGAGGCCGACCACCTAGCTGAATTGAATCTGGTGGAAGAACGAAGGACCATAGCAGCTGTCAAGATGGCCGGTTACCAGCAGTCAGTAAAGAGGTATCATGACAACCGGGTGGGCCCACGATATTTCCAAGTGCATGATGAAGTCTTACGCAGAAGGGATGCTAGTAAGCCTAATGAGAGAGGCAAACTAGTACGAAACTCGGAGGGACCCTATCGCGTAAAGGCTATCGTCAGGCCGGGCACTTACCAACTGGAGACCATGGAAGGTGGTCGGGTTGACCGACATTGGAACTCTCATCACTTGCGTAAATTCTTTAGATAAAGTGTAATGAGTTCCCTAGACATCAATAAAACTCTGTTCTTTTCAGAAAAATTATTCTCATACATCAACTGGTAGTTGGTCAACACACTGATCCACCCGGTTAGATGTCCAATCGAATTGGGCCTCTTAAAAAAAACAAAAAAAAAAGGAGATCAGTCTGACCAATCCTACACCTCATCCGTACTAACACGGGAGTTGAAACGATTTGGCTTGACTAAAGGGAGAGCATCCCGGCCAGTTTAAGCCAGACGTTCTGCAGAAAAACTTAAGGCTTACCTTTCCGCAAGGGTGTTAAGCCAATGTGGAAACAAGTCAATATGCCATCTCGGGTTATTAACCAACCGGGAGGAAATTAAAAAATCTTAAAGTCTTCCCGGTTGGCTATCCAACCTTTCGAAAAGACTTGGGTAAAATTGTGTGTTAAGCCGGGTAAATGCAGCCGGGCTGTTATTTACTAATCTAAACGGTTAAAAATCTAAGTTGAAAAGAATTAATGAGACATGGAGAAAAGCACTCAGCACACAATGTAGAAAATACTCCTATTAATATCGAGTTTACAAAAACTGCCCGGAGGCAAATCATTACATCATAAAAACAAAAATAGAAGAGAAGAAGGCCAAGGGGATCAGATTCCCGGGAATGGAGGGACTGACTCCTCATCATGTAGCTCGGGCAGAGAAAGGGCCTTCGGCTGAAAACCTTGGATCCTCTGTTCAAGGATGCCGTAGAGGGCTTTCCGCTCTGAGTACTGGCCGCTTTCAAAGCCGTAGGTCCCGATCGCATCGACGATCCCGGCCGAGTCCTCGTAGTTGTACAAGCCTTGGAAGAAGCGGATGGCCGTCTCCCGGTCAGGTAACGCCTTAGCGGCGAACTCCTCAAGCGCTTGAGAAGCCTAGGCTGCGGCGACGGTGGCTCGCTCCGATTGCTCTTTGGCCAGCTCATCTCCCAGCCGAGCGATTTCCTCAGCAGACCGGGCGTTCTCGGTCCCCAGCCTTTGGATCTCCTCAGCCGACCGAGCATTTTCAGCCTCCAGGAGCTGGATCTTGGCTTGGGCTTGCTCATCGGCCTCTTTAGCAGCCTTGAGGAGACCGTCATGCTTGGCGTACAGCTGATGGTAGACCGTGTAGTGCTCCAACCATTTCGCTTCCGTCTTCTCCGCCAGGGCACGAGCGGCCTGAGCATCCTTCCGGCACTGGACCATCATGGCCTCCATCCGGGCCATCTCCTCTTCTTTGGACTTCACCAGCCTGGCGAAGTACTCCTCCCCGATCCGACCGACCTGCTTTAATGACATGAAAATTTTTCTCAGAAGATGAAAGAGAACGGTAAAGAGAAAGGAGGAGGGATTACCTCACTCAGGTCAGCACGAAAAGCTTGGAAGAGTTCTTCGTCCGACCTGGACATCAGAATCCTGGACCGGGGCACGACCGGGCCTTCACCGGCATCGGAGGACTGGGCCACCTGGTGGGCTGGTTGGTTCACCACCTCCGTCTTCCGCCTCTTCCGCTGAAGGGATTCTTCAGCGACCTCTTCTTCATCATGGTCACCCACAGGGGGTTGACCTGCCGGCCCGGCTTGAGAGGTATGGCCGGTCTCTCCCATCAGGTTGTCGAACTCGAAGGTATCTACATTAATGTAGAGTTCCCCCGAGTGAATAGGCTGGTTGGTCCCCTGATGGGATTGGGCCGGTTGCTCTTCCAGTGTGAAGGGCTGGCTGGATGAAGGGTTGAGTGGCTGAGCAGTGGAGGGCTCCTCAACCACTATCTGAGGAATGGCAAACTTTGACTGAAACTTCACCACTGCAAGAAAGGTCACCGGTTAGAAGAACAGCGATGGTATAAAAAAATGGAAGGAACACAAAAGGGTAGTTAATTGACCTTTCTATTTCTTCTTCCTCGCCGGGCGTGAAGGACCGGCAGTGGCAGTGGCCAGGGCTTTGGGTCCCCTCGCCTGGCGGATGGGGATGGCTTCGGGGATCGCCCCGGGCAGGATAATCTCCGGCTCAGGGTCAGTCTCTCGACCGGGGTAGACGCTCCACTTCCCGACGTGGTAAAGACCGCGGGTGGAGGCGTCCCCGGCCCGGAGGGTGGCTTCCCAGGCAACCAGGTCATCGGCTTCCGCTGGTTTGACCTGGCGCTTCATTCTTTTCCCCCAGACATTTTGGGCAAAGGGAAAGGTAGTCGGGGGGAACTTGATACAGACATATTTGTCCTTCCACTTCTTGTTAGAAGGAGGAAGGCCACACAGGAATGCCCGGCCTTGGTGGGATGACACCACCACGAATCCAAGGGTTTCCTTGGACCCGGGCCGGACATCGAACATATAGTCAAAGAGACGAAGAGAGAGAGGAATACGAAGGAACCGGCAGACATTGATGAAACTGCCCAACAGACGGTGACCATTAGGGGCCAGCTGCCCGGGCATGATACCGTATGTTTCAAGAAAAAAGACTTTGAATGGGTGAATAGAGAATTCACCCAAGTCCTTGATCGAATGGTAATGAATACCAATCGACATACCGACGTGGAGAGGAATAATGCTCTTCCACGTTGCCCGGTAGGTCAATTGATACCCATCGGGCATCAGATTACGCAGCTCGTGGACTTGGGGCTTCTGCATATACGACGGTTGCTCTTGGAGCAACCTGTCGTCAAGCGGAGTGAAGCCCTCGTCCCCGGGCTGGGCGACTGAGACTACTTGCGCCACGGAAGAAGAAGGGGCACAAGTGGAAACATCAACCGGCTTCTTCTGTGGAGAAGTAGCCGGGTGCTCAGAATCAGAGGATGAAGAAGAAGAGGAACCAAAAGTCGGAGACCGGCCGCCAGAACCGTAAGAGTGGACGGAAGGGTTCTGGCTATCTTCACGGTCTGACATGACTCAGAAAAGAAGGAAAGAAGCTTACTTGGAGACGATTAGAAGACTCGGAGGACTCAGAAATAGTAGAAGCAGCCGGGCAGATTTTTTAATTGAAGATTTGCAAGTGAGGAAATTCTGGGGAGAACCTCGCTTTATATAGGAGAGATGCCGCCCAGACGGACGGACGAAAGAATGACACGTGGCAGCTGAAATGATTTGCCATCATAACCTCTCGGGGAGACGAAACGGCACAATAAATCGGCGGCTCCGTACCCGACTTCGAGAAGATTCTCCCGCTTTGGACACCCGGTTTTTGAAATTTCAAAATTCAAATTTCAAACTTCAAATATTTTGGGTTGGCGCTGGTTTTCCGAGACGATTTTCCCGCCAAAAAGCGACTGGGCAGTTCGAATTTCAAGAGATGGTCGCATATGCTTCCCGCCCCTGATGGTCCCCACAGGACCGGGAATCGGAGGACTCCTTGATGGGTAATAACCCATGGATACCACCCGGTTGGTTCACCCGACTGGGTGGTGATGCAAGTGACAGCACGCGCCCTTCTCGGCCCGGGTTATTTCACCGGGTAGATGGGAAGGCCGGACGCCAATAACAGAAGACCTATTTTCTGAAGTACGCCTGGTTGACCGGTCAGCCGCCTGACCGGCTGGATAATCAGAGACGTGCTTGACGTGCTTAGGATTATTATAAATACTCCTAAAAGCCTCATTTGTGAGGCATGCTTTAATTAATCCACACGGCCTGTATTGATTGTAATAAGTTCCTACTTTCATTAATAACAAGCCGGGTTACAGGTGTTTCCACCTACAACCCTCCCGATTACTTATACTTAGCATTTGCGTGGTAATTTACTCCATCAACTATATTGTTTTACCAAATAACTAAAAAATAAGTAAAGAAAGTGATTAAAATTTTATTATGTAAATAATAACTAAGAAGGTCATTTTATGACGAAGGGAGTATTGTTTTACCTATCTAATTTATATTAACCTCTCCAACCATACTATATACTCCGTATATTATACTTATTTATCATTATATTTTGTTATTATACAACTTTTTTAAATATTTATTTCATACTTTTGTATTATAATCATATAGATGTGTAAAATATAAAGTTTATTTAACAAGTATATTTGTCAAAAGGCAAGAGTGTTTGCTATAAATAGAAATTGGATTCGTTAAAATAGAAAATTTGCTATAATTTACCCTTCCCTTCGGAGTGCATGCAATTGAAAATTTTTTAGCACTTAGCTTCAAGGTTGGAGATACTCTTAGACTTTAGGAATTTAGGGCATAAGCATTTATTTTGGAGTAAAAGAATATTCATTCTCAAATAACGTGATATTCATTTTGAATCAACGTAATAGTCATTCTCAAACAACGTAATGTTCTTTTTCACACATTTGTTTATTACTGTTATAATATTCATTTATGAATAACATAATGTTTATTCTGAAATAATGTAGTGTTCATTCTGAAACAACGTGGTGTTCATTTTCAAATAAGTAGTGTTCATTCTAAAGTAACGTATAGTTCATATAACCTCGTAAGTCGTTGAAAATGAATATAATACTACACAGAAAACAGAAAAATGAGCATAATTCAATTCATCTTAAACTCACACCTTGTGCTGCCATCCTCACTTCGTTCCCTCGCCGTCGTCGAGCTTCCCCGATCAACGCAATAAGGATTTGCCAGTCTTCATCATCATCGATCAACACAACATCGCAGCCGTGCTCCCTCGATTAATCTAAGACGAGTTTTTCTTTTTTCATCAACTATCTCTCGATTGACGCATCGTTCATGCTCCCTTCCTTCTCGCCAGATTGACATAGGGAGTGTACGGCGATAGTTTGCACCGCCCAAATCGGGTCGAGTCACACGCTACAAAGAAGATAGGCATTCCTTTAAAAAATTATCAATTGTACGGGAAAATCATACAACCAACTGTAGTATATATAATGCGGTATTGAGTGGGTGAGTAATCTCCAAATTTTGTGGATGATGTTTTGAGTAATTAAAATGAAGCAGTCTATTTCAAAATAAAAATATTCCTTCCATCCTAAAACTATCTTCCCATTTGTGTTTACGAAGTTTGACTTATTTTATATTTAATTCAATTTATTTACTTGTACGTGTGAAATTAAAAAATAAAATTTATATATTTAAAAACTAAATAAAAAATTCTATAAAATAAGAGGTGACAAAATTATATTATTTTATCAAATACGGAGTAACTACTAAAAATAAATCAAGAAAATGATTTAAGTTAGACCGTGTAGATAGAAACTGGAAAGATAGTTTTAGGATGGAGGAATTAAAAAATAAAAAGAATATTCTGCTTTCCAAAACAAAAAGAAAAAAAATCTGAAATTTTTTAAGGGAGGGGAGGGAATACTAATCACTTTCCTCTGTTTATTCACTCCCACGGGAAAGCCTCCCCGGCCACGCCCTGCCCGATCCCACCTCGTAGCGGAGTCATAATCCACGGGTGGCATTCCTTAGGTTTTCGTCCACGGTGCGGTTCTTCGATTTAAGATATAGGACCTAAAGCACGAGCAAAAGGCAACCATGACCGGTAATATACAAAACCTTTAAATCTTTTCGGGCTCGCAGCTATAGATTTTTACTTCAGATGTAAGATCATACAGTAATTCATGGTGTGAATTAAATTGTTGGTCTGATTGGATTGTTTTTTTTCTTTGTTGGGAAGATTCTAACTTTTTATGCTCTAGTCCAAGTTGGCTTCCGTAGAATCCAGTTTAAGCTTGCTATTGTAATTGCTGAAGTTGGATTTTCCATACATGTGTGAATGTTGAGCCCATTCAGGTATTATGTGTATGTTTGTCTGATATTTAACTCTTGTTCAGATTATGTTCTGGAGCAAGAAATGGAGATCGAAGCATTAGAAGCCATCCTAATGGATGACTTCAAGGGTTTGTGACAGACCGTCCATGTTTAATGCTTATTTTAGTGAGCCCCAAGCTATTTGAGTTTCATGAGTGTTATCTTCCATTTCATTTTGTCCCAGAACTTCACACTGGTGAAAGTGGACTGAGCACATCCAGAAGATGCTTTCAAATTGCTATATCTCCTCAGGTATATATGTAATGTAAACTGTTGAGTTTTTCTTGAGAACTGCATTTCTAAAGTAATTCTCATTATTAACCTTTTATTGTAACAATGTGTAAATTGGTTTGAACACTTTTTCTTTTTCAACTGCGTTTGTCATGGTATTGGTTCTTTTTACCTGCCTCTCAATTTCTGACACTACTTTTATCATTTGTTTTATCATCAACATTCTTAATGTCGTATCAACCTTACCTATGTTTTATAGGAGGAGGAGGAGGCAGATGAACAAATAAACTCGTCAGGTTTTACTACAGTAACTTCATGGATACCTCAATCAGATATATTATGCACTTCATTCTGCCTACTGCTTTGGATAATAATGCTTACCACCTAAATGCATCTGCAGTTCGACTTGCTTTAATTTTCTCGCACACTGAAAAGTATCCTGATGAGCCCCCACTTTTGGATGTCAAAAGGTATGAGCTACCCTTTTTTTATTGCCAAAAATGGTAAAAAAGTAAATAAATTACCAGCTACCTGTTTATATCTGGACTTTGGGTTTGGACCCTGACCTGAAGAGTGGGCTTGGAGTAATTTGCTGCATAACTAGGATCAGGAAGGATTCAGGCTCGAACATGTGATGAGGTTGGCCCACAGGCCACAGCTGACCTCCATGGACAATCGAGCTCCACCCACATCCAACCTCATGGACTTAGCTGTTAAGAGCATCTAGCATAGGACGGGCTACCCAGTTTGAGTGTGTTCTGATTGTATACTGACCTATACTCCCCTGCTGGACCACCCATGTGGAGCTTGGAATTTCTGCAGTCAGGGCCAAGCGGCCGGGTCCCTTTCTGCACCTTGCACGCTTATATAATATATATATATATATATATATATATATATATATATATATCACATTTGGTGGGTTGGCACATTCTCATAGTACTCAATAGCACTTCTCATTGCCTTAGTCCCCCCCTCCCCACGGGTCTCAAGACCATCAGGCGTTCATCATGATATACAAATTTCTGTAATTCTGTGGTCCTCATATCATAGGATCTGCTTATACAAAGTATATCATTTTAATGTCCACTGAGCTCATTTGGAGGGCACTTGCATAACTGTTTTGTTTTAATAAATCTCGTTGGTAGTTTTTCAGTTTAAAGGGAATTCAACCTGGAGACCTTAGAACTTTGAGAGAAAAGCTTGAACAAGAGGTAATTTGTACATCCTTGGTCTTCTATAGTGCACTGTTTGACATCTTTGTGCTAATCATATCATATGCTAGAGGTAAATAATATTCATTCTGAATATTGTTTCTATAAAAAAATCAATGTCAATAAATTGAAGAAGCATGCCTGATATCCTACTTCAGTTTTATATGGAGTAACAAAGAATCAATGATTAATTTATATGGAAGAGAACTAATTACATAGTTGTATGTCTAAACACATTTTTTCTGGTTAAAAAAAGATAGAAGAAAAAGTTTCATCCCAGTATTCCACCAATCCAACAAGGCACAAGTGTAGCTTGTCTGCAGGTGAATATCTAGATTGAGAAACTGAGCATCATGTCCTCCTAAATTTATTTGAAGTGTAAAGTGTTTGGCTGTTGCATTTATTTAACCACTTAAATGCTCAGTTTCCATGATCATAATTTATCATGCAGCTTGAACTGTTATGATTGTATTATTCAGGCGACTGAGAATCTTGGTATGGCAATGATTTTTACATTGGTCACATCAGCAAAAGAATGGTTATCTGAACTTTTTGCTAAGGATACTGTTGATGAATTTGCTGGACAAGCTGAAGTGGCAAAAGATGAGGTATGTTGTTTAATTGTCCAACCTGTTGCATAAAGAGATCCAAAATATACACAAGATTGTATGTATCATTATGTGTACCCCAATTTTATGTCATTTAACTGAAAAGGGTGTAAACGAAATTGAGAAAATGTGTTTTTAACTTATTAATCTTTTCTTCAGTTCAACAACTTCAAGTTGATATGAAGCCAACATTTTAATCAAACTTCTATTACAAGCTTAGACCCAATTTGTTTATTGGGCTTGGAATATATGCTTAACTCATATTGACTGCAAACGATGAGCTACAGATCTATCTTGCATTTTAACCGCCATTTTTTATTCAGCTCATTAACAACAATAACCCTGTAAGGTATGACAAGGTATGATGAGGGTGGGTGTATGCATACCTTACCCCCTATCTTTTCATTTAGAGGTTGTTTTGAAATACCCTCGCGTAAAGGGTACATCTCATTAGCAGCATTGCTAGTTTTATTCACATTGTAGGACTGTAAGTAATAGCGGGAAATTTTGTTTATATAAAATCCCGTCTGTCCTAGAGTATTCATGTAGTTTGATTTTTTATACTCTGGACAGAGAAAGCATCTTATTCTTATAGAAATAACTAGAGCAACTGGATGCTGATTAGTGAATATGGTTATGTACTTTTGAATCTTTACAGAATAGAGTTTCTTTATGATATTTCAATTTTAACTTTGGTGGATGGATGGTGCATTAACAGTGTATGCACATTGTCTATTGTTATGTTCTCACATGCTAATATTGCCAGTTGACCTAAATTCAAATTTGTTTTTTCAAATCTAATAAGGTTCTATTTTTATTTTAGATAGTTGTGCCTCATGGAGAACCAGTGACCATTGAAACATTCTTGGCATGGAGGGAAAGATTTGAGGCTGAACTAGCCCTGGAAAGAGCCAAGTAAGTAAGGAGTGTATCTTATGTTGCTCACATATCAATCAAGTCAAGAAAATCAATTGATATGCTATAGACATATGTGAGTCATGATTTCCTTTTTAATACAGTTATAAACATTTGCTTCACACACAGTTAGCAATTACTACCTCCGTCCCGCTATATTCGTTCACTTTTGACTTTTGGAACTGTTCATCTAAGCACTTTGACTCATCAAATTCTCTCAATGTGTAAGCCTAAATATAGTCATGTGTGATCTTGTTTGATTTGTCTTCACATATAGATTATTAATATATAATTTTTATAATTTTTTAATATACAAATTACAAGATAAAATGGATTAAAGAAGTGTATTGGATGGTGTGTAAAAATGAAAGTGGACAAATACTCTGGGACGGAGGGAGTAGTACATTGTGGTGATGGGACACAAAAAGTTGTCATACTCTGATGAAGGTTTCATTAGGGGTGCAAGGTGAATAGGAGCCAAATAAATAATTTGCCAAAGAATATACGAGTTTTTGCTTAATTTATCAAGACTATACACGGAAACAAAGAACACCTGTAGATAACCTTTTTAACTATATATGCTTGGAGTCAAAAGCTGTATTCGTGTTGCTTTTGTGGTGAAAATTGTTTAAAACACGATGTCATTTGCTTTCAGAAGCAGTAGTACTGATAAATAAAACAATATTCAGGTTAATGCCAGATTCAGCGCTTTCAGTTCCCAAGGAAAAGAAGCTGACAGGCAGGCAATGGTTTGAAAGTGGAAGAGCATCTTCGGTATTATTTATTTATTTTCCATCCAGTACCAATGGAGCTAGAAGAGTTATTATTTAAAGTGTCTTAGCTTTGGACAAAAAATGGATTAATCTCAATCCCACGTCAAACTTCTTTTGCTTCTTACTTTCCATGAAGTTTTGGTAGTAAATGCAGCAATGCATCAAGGGTCCATGTGTCCAACATAAATAGTCTATCTACTTCTTCAGGGGTAAGACTGTCTATATCTTGACCCCTAGACCTCAACAGAGTTGGGGTTTTGCTGGGCTTGTTGTTATTCTTCTTTATTTTCTTATTTACGGAGTATTTATTTATCCACCATCCATCCATCCATGGAATATTAATTAATTAATTTTGCTTTCTTCCTTCCAAAGTAGCTGGGCTTATCATGTTTTTTCACCCAGAGTCCTTTAGTGTGTGAGCAAGATTTTCCAATACTGTTTGATCCCAACTCCCATTGGCTAACTGTATCTTTCCGACTGGAGATAAATGGATTTGTTGTACTTAGCACAATGGATTTGTTTGGAACCTGAAAAGTGCCAGGGAAAGATAACAGTGGGAATATTTGGAAGAAAAGAAAATTCCGTTGAAAATAATAGTATCGGGGCTGTAGTTGGATTTGATTTTTGACCAGAAAAAACAGATTGTATTAGATAGTTGTATTGGACAAAGGGTAAGGGATGAGATATGAGTTAGTTTCGTACTTGTATTCCTACATTTGGCTCTTCATATAATCTCCCTAACCAAATGACCCGGCGTGGCATGCTCATAAGCTCTATTCATTTGTCATTTGGTTTCTACAGAAGGGCGCAACGACTGTTGCCGAAGAGTCTGATGAGGGAGAAGAAGATATTGATTTTGATGATGAAGACTTTGAAGGTCACTTCCCATTTCCCCCTTTTCCATTTAGTACACTAGTATACCTCACCCCCTTCTCTTTGTGAACAAAAGTAACACTTGCCTTTTGTGTTTTTGTAGTTGATGAAGACGATATGCTGGAGCACTATCTAGCAGCAGAAAGACCAGCATAACATCCTCTCATTTGGCTTTATCTAAAGCTTTTACATCACTTGAACTCTGCATTTATATAGTTTCTATAAGGATCTAAATGTGAGATTGATCCTTAGGGCTCTTCTGGTTTTAGATTACTAGGGGTTTTAGGTTGATTGAGCTGATTCTGATTCTCATATCAGCTATAATCACGTGCTGTTGTGTTGGTTTGAGATTTTGTCTAAAATCAATCCGCGTGATTCTGCTCCCCAGCGCCTCATATTTAGAATCGATCAGGTGGTTTTTTTAGAGCCAATAGACAAATCCAGAAGTGACTCCGAGTATCAAAACCAGAATTTGAACTAAAAATGAGCCTCTAGCTCGACAATGATTCTTGGCGGTCTTTATTTGTGTTAGAATTGGGATGTCTCTATACTTGAAGTTTGGAAAAAGCGTTTGGGGCATATTGTTGAATTAGTACTATTTGGAGTTTAAAATGAATATGCTTCGTGACTAGTTGACTAAATATGATTTGATACAAACTATTTGTTTGGTAACACAATAGAATTGAGTGAATGCTGTCACAGTCCTAAATCTGGTATGGTCTTTCCTAAATTTGATATAGCGTGCAATATGCTCCTATAGAAGACAAACATTGGGAAAAGTAAGAAAAAACAGTGGTTCGAAATGCGTAAAGCTGTTGGCATGGTGTGAATAACACAAAATTACAGTATTTCTCCAAGGCATGGCGTGATGTGAATTAAACAGAATTATTCTTTTCCACTTGCCATTTAAGAACATCACAGAATTGTTTCTCCTTTTTTTTTATATTGAAAAGGCACATTTTTGCCGATGAGGTTTTATCCTAGTAAAATTTATGTTATCATATGAGACAGATGTATTAGAATGGGTTCGAAAAATGGCCCTGATTTCGATTTTGATTCGGGTTTTAGAATACTCCCTACCAAATGTGGCGTAATGAGCCTACCAAACGCGCTTTTGGGAATAAAATTAATGCGGGCGAGTCGTGTCAGTCCATACCTGCCCCAACCATACCTACTTTTTTGTTTATAGTACTGTACTCGGTAATAACACCATAACAGTCCTTTAAAAAATATAGCACGTGACCATCAGGGGTGAATTCGGGTCGGTCCAAATACAATCACTGCCGGTAAAACCCACGTTTTCCTCGTTCTAAATAGGAATCTATGTTTAAAAAAGGAAAAGAGAATTGGCATTTTTTCCGGGAAAGGAAATCATTTAAAGAAAAGAAGAAAAGAAAAGAAAAAAAGTTGTTCCTAAATTTCCGTAGGCTTGAAGGAGTTAACTGACCAACTGATGGTAGATGGAGTAGTATATAAATAAATCACAAAGCCTTTGTGTTGTTAAATCTTGGTGTCCGTGAGAAATCATGATGAGTTTCTCCAAATTGGGTTTATTGATTCTGGTTCATTTCTTGGTTTCTCCGGAACCCATTTCATCATCATCATCACCATCATCAGAAGAGATCCCAAAGGCTTTCTTGAAATTGGCAAAGGAAAGCGATGTGTTTGATTGGATGGTGGGGATAAGGAGGAAGATACATGAGAATCCTGAGTTGGGGTATGAGGAATTTGAGACCAGTAAGGTGATAAGGGAGAAGCTGGATGAGTTGGGGATCCCTTACAAGCACCCCCTTGCTGTAACTGGTGTGGTTGGCTATCTTGGTTCTGGGAATCCTCCATTTGTGGCTCTAAGAGCTGACATGGATGCTCTTTCTATGCAGGTTGCTTTCCCTTTCATTTGTTTGTTTGGGCAGTTTAAGACTGTGTTTTGCCATGTGCAGCATTTGAGTGTATTATGGCTTTTGAATTTGCATAGGAATTGCTGGAGTGGGAGCACAAGAGTAAGATTGATGGAAAGATGCACGGCTGCGGACATGATTCACATGTTGCAATGCTTCTGGGTGCTGCCAAGATTCTTCAACAGCATAAACACATGCTTCAGGTTTGATTCTTGATGATGTCTGTCTGTCTGTTACAGTGTCAGTGTGTGCCCCCCTTCAAAATGCTGTTGATCACCCATACTTACTACAGTATAAGACATCATGCTCTGAGTTATAGAGCCCATTTGGTAAGGCTCATTTGGATGAAATCACTGGATTTGCTTAATCATCTTAACGGAAAAAGTTTTAGTAAAATGAATTTCAGTCGTATAGGTAAATCAAAAGCTGCTTATTGATCTGATTATATTGCTGATGATGCTGCCACAAATGGCCTTATTTGGCTGAAACGGATTCTTCCGAAACACTCTTCTTTTACACAAGTTGAGCCATTTCAGCCAAACAACATCAAATGAGCTCTTCGTTTCATTTAAACCTAAACTGAGTTTCGGTGCAACATAATTTTGATGACAGGGAACAGTTGTTTTGGTTTTCCAACCAGCAGAGGAAGGTGGTATGGGGGCAAAGAAAATGGTAGATGCAGGAGCACTAGAGAAGGTGGAGGCTATGTTTGCGGTGCACGTAAGTCCTAGCTATGCTCTTGGGGAAGTAGCATCCAGATCCGGTTCATTTGGTGCAGGAAGTGGCTTCTTTGAAGCCTTGATAAGTGGGAAAGGCGGTCACGGTGCCATTCCTCAACTTGCAATTGACCCAATTCTTGCTGCTTCAAATGTCGTTGTCAGCTTGCAGCATCTTGTCTCCAGAGAAGCTGATCCTTTAGACCCTCAGGTAACAACATCAATTCTGTTTTTATGCGCCGAATTAAATATTTTCCAATCCATTATCCTCTCTTGGCTTGTGGTTAAAATGGTGGAAACAAAATGCTGTTTTGAGCTGTTGATTTGTGTGCTACTAGCTCATATTTACTGTGGTCTGTGTAATCTGTTTCGCCAAGCTAAGACTAACACAATGACCATGCTTAAGGGGTTTAAGTTGCAGCTCTATGTTTATGTTACAGTATTTTCACATCATGACAAGTTTGATTTTTCAAGATCAATAATGAGGCAACTCCAGTCTATTGCCTACCAACTTTCTCAAACAAAACTAGTACATTCCTCAAGACACACATACTTTTAATATTAGCCCCAATTTATGTTGAAATCTATGTTGAGTGTTACATCTATCATGTGATGAATTGTGAATTTAAAAGATGCAAAGTTGTGATGGGAATAAAAACTAAATACAAATTAACCGACAATTTGGGGGTTGTGGTTTGATAGCGGCACTTCTAATAACCGCAAGCAACACTTAGCTTCGGTTTACCAAACTAAGGGGGTGTTTGTTTTTTCTGCAAGAAAAGATCTGCAGTCTGTGGACCACTGTAGACATCTGCAGGAGAAGTGGTGGACCGAAGGTCTGCGATCTGCAATCTGCAAGAAGAAGACTGTTTGTTTTTTAATGTCTGTAGATTGCTATATAAATTAATGGTGGTAGTATACGATGGTGGTATATGGACGATTGTGGTGGTAGTGGGGTGGTGGTGGACGTTGACGGCGGTGGTGGTGGACGGTGGTGGTGGTGGCGGTGGATGGCGGCGGCGATGGTGGATGATGATGGTGATGGACGGTGACGGTGATGGTGGACGGTGGTGGATGGTGGTAGTGGTGGACGGTGGCGGTGGACGGTGGTGGTGGTGAAGAGAAGTAGAAAAAAAAAAGTAGAAGATGTTAGAAGACATTGGTTAATGTCTTCTCCAAGAAGATGTCAGGAAGACCTTTTTGAGTGAAATGTCTTCCAAAAAACAAACAATCTGCAGAACCTAGCATCTGCGCCCGTCTGCGCGGCACAGACAAAAGACGCCAGAAGGTCTTCTGGCAGAAAAACAAACACTCCCTAACTCTTTGCATAAAAAGCAAAGTTGATTGAAAAGCCACGACAATGCCGACCATTTATCTTATCTTAGCTTATGCAAGGAGGAAGTTGAGGCAATACGTGATAACAGATCAATGTATGCTACTACATACATGCAATTGCGCTCTCTTTGTTGTTTCATCCTAAACGGTGGACTTTTGTGATACGAGTAACTTGAAACGTTATATGATTGGTTTGTATGTTTGTATATCAATGTGGTATATATGACTTTAAGATTGAACACATGGCTTCCATATTTGTAGGTTGTCACAATCGGCCAATTCCAAGGAGGTGGCGCATATAACGTGATTCCTGATTCTGTTACTCTTGGTGGAACTTTTCGGGGCTTCTCAGTGGGGGGAATGACACGTCTAAAGACACGTATCGAGGAGGTTAGTTATGCTTCAAGATGTGACAACAAAAAGAAGCTAATGCTATGTTTATGTTTAATTTGTTTATAAGGATAATACTTATTTGTTACTAATTGTTACTCGATCGCTCCCACCTAAACAAATAACAGGTAATAGTAGGACAAGCCGCGGTTCAAAGGTGCAATGCAACGGTTAAGTTTGATGAAGAGAGTCCATTCGTCCCTCCCACCATCAACGACAAAGGGCTGCATCTCTACTTCCACCAAGTTGCTTCTGACATGCTTGGGAGTTCTCGTGTCAGAGAAGCTGAGCCGATGATGGCCAGCGAAGATTTTTCATTCTACCAGCAAGTGGTGCCCGGCTGCATTTACTTGCTGGGCTTGCAAGATGAAAATGGCGAAAAACTTGCATTCCCACACTCGCCCTTCTTTAAGGTCAATGAAGATGCTCTTCCTTATGGCGCCGCACTCCAGGCGTCTTTGGCGGTCAGGTACATTCTTGATCACAATTCAGAGGTTCCATTGCAAAGTGCAAGCAAGCGTGATGAATTATGATTATTTATGAGAGAGAGATCAGATCTTAACCCACATATATTTGTTGTATGCCTTGCATTTATTTATCTAAATATTGCTCCTCTATAATAATACGTAGTATATAGTAGTGTATGGAACTTCATGTCTGCTTATATTCATACATATATGATGGCTTTCTTGCTCATTGTCTATTAGAGTAATTTTTTCCAATTAATCTAAATGACCGACATCATATTGTTCAACACAATCCATGAAATTTTGTAGAATTAATCTAGGGAGAAAGATCAAAGTAGAATTAAAACATTGAAAATATACCAAAATAGGACTTCTATGTTTTTATTTTCGAAATAGGACTTACATTACCAAACATGATTATATACATTACCAAAAAAGTATAGTAATTTCCACAGGGGAAAAAACATGAAAGTCCTATTTTGGTACTTTTCTCTATGTTTTAGTCCTATTTAGGTGATTCTGATTTTCCGGTTTTTCAATTCTGATCCGATCTGGTTTTGGACCGGTGATACCCTTACACTTTCATCGTCGCAGGCCCATCAAAGTAGATATTCATAACTTATTTCATTTAATTATACGAGTAGATATTTTTCAAAGTGTAGTATCTGTTTTATCAGTTTAATACTACATCCGTCCAAAAAGATTTACACGTTTTGACTAAAGTTTAAATTAAGAGAGGGATAATTTTATGTTGACTTTCCAAAAATACCCTTAATGTGATGGGTAAAAATAGAATGTGATGTGTAGATTATTAGGAAAAAGGTATGATGTGATAGGTAGGGTTTGAAAAAGTATGGGCTAAAAGTAATTTTTTAATAGAAATGTGTAGGAGATATTTGGACGCAATTTTTTTGAAAGGTGTAAGTCTTTTTGGGACGGAAGGAGTATCTGATAGTGGGTCATCGGCCCAAACGATATTAGCTCAATTTTTAAGGGGGAAGGCCAATCAAAGTAGCTTGCTACTTGGGCTTTCACGTGTCACCTCGGACTTGCACTACTTCCTTGGACCCGAGTGAATCAATGACTAAAATTGGATGAAAGATTGGACCTAAATGTATTGGATGTCCGTTTTTTAGGTCCAGACAGTAGCGAATGAAAATTTGGGCTTCTTTATTTCGGGAAGCTCCTCCCCTCGATCAGAGCCTTCTCGCCTGAGAATTTTCCTCCACAAAACAAAAACTTGGTGTCTAAACTTGCAAAATTTTCCCCAAATAATTCAATAAAAAAGAAAATAAAACCAGAAAACTACTTGCATGTTAGTTGGATTTTCTTCATCATTATTAATTTTCCTCCAAGCTTACAAATTCAGTTCTCCTCTTCCCAAATAAAATTCAAGAGACATAGATAGATAGATCTTCCACCTCAGGCCGGCCAGGCACTCATACATCATCGTAAGATCAGTTGTTGATTTTTATATATTTCGGGCTCCGGTCAACGTTTCACCCCGCCAGCAAACATTGAATTCGCCAAATCATATCGTCAAAGCTATAAATACGACATGGATGGAAGGTAATCAACGTACGTGCATGCATGCATGTATGGCTTCATCATGAGCCGAGTGCTTCATTATTAATTTATGAGAGATGGAAGATAGAGATTAATTTATTACTCCGTAATACATTACAATCGGTATCGATCAGATTGGAGAGATCGAATTATATTATATATGGTCATCGCCTTCAAAAGTATAATATAAATGGGTGAGAATAATGTGATGAGGATATCGTCATCACCTTCCGCGAAACTGATAGACGATGCAATTTCAAGCAAGAACCCGCAGAGCAGCGTGACGTGCGTGTACCAGACGCACATCGGCGGCCACTGGCGGAGCGTCACCGTGGTGTGGAACAAGAACGTCATGAACCACAGCGTGACCCTGACGGTGGACAGCATGGAGGAGGCGGAGGAGGGGGGCCACGATCACCACCCCACCTGCAAGATCGACCTCAAGCCCTGGAACTTCTGGGCCAAGAAGGGCTACAAGACGTTCGAGGTCGACGGGAACCACCTCGAGGCCTATTGGGACCTCCGCTCCCCTAAATTCTCCGGGAGCGGGAGCCCCGAGCCCTGCTCGGACTACTACGTGGCGCTGGTGGCGGAGGAGGAGGTGGTGCTCCTCCTGGGCGACCACAAGAAGAAGGCGTACAAGCGTAGCAAGGCCCGGCCCGCCCTGGTCGATGCCGTGCTCTTCTACAAGAAGGAGCACGTCTTCGGGAAGAAGAGCTTCTCGACGAGGGCGAGATTGGACCATAAGATGAACAAAGAGTGCGAGATCGTGGTGGAGCTGAGCTCCACCACGGCAGGCGGCTCTTCTTTTTCTTCTTCCTCTTCGAATTATAATAACAACGGTTTCAACAAAGATCCGGAGATGTGGATAAGCATAGAGGGGATCGTGTTGGTCCACGTGAAGAGCTTGCAGTGGAAGTTCAGGGGGAATCAGACGGTGGTGGTCAACAAGCTGCCGGTGCAGGTGTATTGGGACGTCCACGATTGGTTGTTTTGTAGCAGTAGCAGTAGCAGCAGCTTGCCCGGCGGCGGTGGCGGATGGGAGCACGGGCTGTTCATATTCAAGCCGGAGGGGACGGCAGGGGAGACGACGACGAGTGATGCGGAGGAGAGCGGCAGCGCGGGCGGAGATAGCAGCGAGTGCGGCAGCACGGAAAGCAGGTACTACTCAACCACGCAGAGTCACTCCGGCGGCGGCGGGTCAACGCCCTTTTGCCTTTTTTTGTATGCATGGAAGCTTGAGTAGCTAAAATTTAGGCTCCCATTTGTTCATACATACATATACTCCCTAGCTAGTTATTCTCTGTATCTTAATTCTTAATTATATTACTCGTACAAATATAGACATATGAGTATATAGTACGTCGTGGATAGCCTCAAATCAATGCAAAGCATAAAGAAATCGAAAGCAGCAAGCCAGAATATATATTGCATGCATGCTTAATGGGTCGATCAAAAGCATTTTCACCAATCAATGCAGAGCAACCATTGAAATTGGAGTATGTTAGGGTACACCATCACTTTGATGTAGAGAACTTGCACATGAAGTGCGTTATTGATGCAAGACTTTTTCAATGCTTCGTTTGACTCTGAAAACTCCCAATTAAAAGGCGATGTAAAAAGTGAAATTTGCACTAAATAGGACTAAAACATAATGACTTTCCTAATGTATGACTTAAACTTTTTTATTCCCTAAATAGGACTGAATAATGACTTAGTAGAAAGAATAATGTCCAGTAATGATGGACATTTAGTCCTATTTAGGTAAATTTCTCATGTAAAAATGGAATGGAAATGTAAAAATGTAAAAGTTAAGAGTATAGAGTTGAAGTATGGTCGTATCATTTTCCTAAATAGCACTTAAACTGTTTTATTCCCTAAATAGCACTTAATAATGTCCATAATGTTCAGTGATGACGAATATTTGCTTGAATAATGACTAATGCATAAAGACTAGAGTGCTACATTGGGAAGAAAAACACATGTGGTACTATTTAAGGAAAGTCATTATGTTGTAGTGCTATTTAAGTAAATTTCTCGTTATAACTAAACACTAATATCAAACTATATTATGTGAATCTAGCTAGACCTAAAGGCGGGAGAAGGTGAACAATATACAAAGGAAATCAAGCCGTACCCCCTGTAGTTTGAAAATGACATCAATACTCATTCTATTTTTTAAATTTATTTCTAAAATCCTCGTGGTTTCAAATCTTTGCACCAATATCCCATTTGACCATTTTCGGATCATTTTCTAGTCATCCTCCAGCGAAGAGTGGACATTGGTGCCTATTTTTCAAAGCATAGGGAGCAACATAGCTCATTTCTCATTTTTCTTTTAATTTTTTGTTTTTTTATTTATTTTTAACTCCTTTTCATCTCTTCGTTTCTGTTTCTTAGAAAAAAATTAAAATTTATTTTCTAGTTTTTTAAATAATGTTTTAAAATATTCAACATTGTTTGTTTCAAAAGTTTACATATACTTCATCCATCTCAAATTAAGATTTTCAATTTTTTGTTTTCTAAAATTAAAAAAATGGAAAGTTCAAAAAACAAAATCCCGAATAAAAAGATAAAATTTAAAATATGGCAAAACAAAGTGAAAAAATTGAAACATACAAAGAGTACTCTTATGCAAAAATTTTTTTAGGAATGTCTAGAATAGTCCTTAGGTTTGAGATGTCTAAAAAATGATTTTCTTTTTAATTTTCATTTTTTTTTCCTGTTGTACTCCTCTATTTTTGAAGTTTCTAAAAAAGGTTTAACTTCTTACTTTTGGAAAACAAATAATTAAAAAGATACTGTATATGTTAATTATATTTTATTTCAAACAAAAAGGATTCTAAATTTTAAGAACATAATAATAAACAATTTTTTTAAAAACATAAAGAAACCTTCAATTAATAGATAAAATAAACAGATAGAGAAAAAAGGAAAAAAAGTAAATATAGAAATGAGCACCCAGTCCATATGGTTTGGAAAATAGATACCAAAGTTCCCTTCTTCATCGAAAGAAAGGCCAGAAAATAATTAAATGGGGTATGAGTGCAATATTTTAAAACCACATAAATTTTAGAAATAAGTTTTAAAAATAGAGGGGGTAAGGGTGCCCATTTCCCAAACTACAGGGGGTATGGGAGCAGGGAGCTATTTGGCCGCAAAATAACCCTTTTGAAAATACGGACATGTTCTATAGCCACTCACTATGAGTGGTCACGGAAGATATTGTCTGAATTGGAACACCTACGGTGCTCCATTTGGAACATTGATAGTTTCTCTTCCTTCTAACCTCCCGGTAAACTCTCTTCTAGTCTCGATCCTAACCCATCTCCCACCCACGTCAGTTGTAGGATGTAAGTTTAGTTGACTTTAATTGAGAATTTTTTTAACCCCAAAGCCAACTAAACTTATATCCCGTAATTGATGTGGGTGGAGGGTGGATTGAGATGAGAACTAAATGAGGGGTTTTTCAAGAAAATTCGAAAAAATAGAAACTACTCCATTCATCCGAAAACGTTCGTCCCGTTTCTATTTACGAGATTTGACCGACTTTATTTTCAATTCAATTTATTTGATTGTAGGTGTAAAATTAAAAAATAAAATTTATATTTTTAAAAACTATATCAAAAGTTCTACAAAATAAGATGTGACAAGACTATATTATTTTATTAAATAACTAACGAAAATAAGTAAAGAAAGTAATTAAAATTTAACTATTGAATAATAACTGAAATAAACATTTTAAGAAAAGATATATCCTCACTGAGACAATAAAGAGGATAGATAAATGACTTTCAAAAAGGATATGGCTCTTCTCATTCGTGGAGATATGATAGGTGAACTAAAAGCCCACCAACGAAACTTGACTACATAATAGGGCCGAACTTGGCTCTTTCTTCCAATGAAAATCTTTAAACAATATTTCGCAAAGAGATTGGCAAAATTTAATACTCTCTCCGTCCAAGATTAAAGTTCTCACTTTGACTTGGCACGGAGTTTAATAAAACAGAAAATTTACTTTGACTTTCCTAAAATACCCTTCATTTCTATCCCTTCTCCTCTTTTCGATCTTGTCCACCCATTTTCTTCCGTCTCTGCAATCGGATGCCCCCCACCCCAAATAAGGCCAAATCTCCTTGCCGCTCTGCCATTATTACCGACGGCCGTCACCTATTCCGATCCAATCGGCGCCTCACTGCTCGCCGTCACCTATGCCTACTCATTCAATCAGCGTCTGTACTCAGCCACCACTGCCGATTTCTTTGTTAACGCTGACCTCGGATCTGAATCGAAATTCTCAGATCTAATGGAGATGGACAAGAAAGAAGAAGAGTTGAAGATGGACTGGGCATTGGACCGAGAATTGAAGAAGAAGAAGAGGAGATCGGACCGCCCTTTTACCTCTGACCACTACCACCGCCTCGTTGCCTCACCTTTACTCTGAGATTCGCTGCTCTCAATTTACAGGAAAAGATCGGAAGAGCAAAGGAGAAGAAAGAAGTAAAAGAAGAAGAAGGAGAAAGAAGAAGAAGATGATGATAAGAGAAGAGAGAAGAAGAAGAGAGAAAGTGACAGCGGGTGAAAGGAAATGGGTGGGGAAGGAAAAAGAAAAAGAAAGGATAGGGAGTGGGTGGGGAGGGTAATTTAGACTTTTTGGTATAATAAAATTTCCAAAAATAGAAATGAAAAGATTATTTTTGGACGGACGAAAAAGGAAAGTGAGAACTTTATTTATGGACGGAGGGAGTATTAACAGCACATGTGGTCGTGGCCCATGGTTATTTACCAGACTTGTTCGGCATTTGTTTCTGATGAGCGAGAGAGACAATAAAGGGGAATCCAGAGGAATAGAGAGAGAATTGGCTCTTTCTTTTTCCCCATTTTCTCTTCACACCTCTTTCATTTGTTTGGCCATGGAACCTCCACGCCTTCCTACTATACTTCTTGCTCGCAGATTCCTTCATTGTTCACTCTTCCCTAGTCTCATCATCTCGAGAAAATAGAACCAAAATCAAAACTGCGTTTACTATTATTTGATTTATATCCTTCTGGGTCGTGATATTTGTGGTTCATGTGTCGAGTTTTGCCAGAATGATTTGATTGTTTGAGGTGAAAAATTCTGGGAATCTATGCAACTACAATTCTTTGAAACAGCTTGGAAGAATTTGTCATTTTGTTATTTTGCTATGTTGGTTTTTGGCGTTCTTGAAAAGAGAGATTAAAAAAAAGGAGCTCTAACCCTTGGATGGAATCATTGGAATGGGGATTGTTGTTGAGGAATTGAGAAAAGGAAAGATGAAAGGTGAGGAGAAAGACAAAGAGAAGCGGATGGATCATCATCCTATATTTCCCAGACTGCATATAAGTGATGCAGATAGAAGAGGGCCAAGGGCACCTCCAAGAAACAAAATGGCTGCCCTTACTGAAGAACCATACCCTGCAAATTCCCTTCCACCAATCTCAATGCTCCCACTCCCACCTCCCAATTTGGCTGCTCTGAGTCATGTGAGTTCAACCATTATAATGCGAATGTTTTCTCTATTTGTTGGTCATTTTTGTTTCCAATCTTTCGTTCTGTTATTGCTACTTTCTGTGGGGATTTCTCATTTATGGAATGAAATGTAGTTTGGTACTATTTGGTAGATTGCAATAATATATATGGAGTAGCTTAATATACTCCATAACAAAGTTTGTTTTCTCTAAATTTGGACTATATATGCATCTGATTGCATTGCATTCGGTCTTACCAAACTGCACCTTAGATTAATGGTAGAAACTTGATGAGCCACGTGACTTGTTTTGATTTACTATGTCTGCTTTGTTCTGTATGCATTATGCCTGCTAAGTCTGGCCCTGCACTTATATAATGCAAAACCCATCCATTGTTTGCAGTCCCATCACCTAGTACTCTTATTATAAGAATCAGCTTAGCTTTGCTATCCTTATATATCATCTCTTCTCTAGAAGGTTGCAACATGAAGCACTTTTCAACATGAATTTAACCAACTGCATACAATTAGGCTCCATTTTGCCTGGGGTATCTGGATGATGGCTAAATCCGCTTAATTTTCTGAAAGGGTGTGTGTTTTGTGACATCGCTACAACCCAAAGAAGTTTGGATTAATAACATACTCCGTAAATTTCATGCCACTAATGCCTCCGTACTAAAATATTCTTTATATCTGAGAATGCCTGAAATTGGGGCTTCTCTTATGTGATATCTTAATGGAAATGCAGGCAGATTCTAATGAGAAAATGTTTTCTACCTTCTGCTATCCCTCTGGTCTATCTCATCCATACGCCAGCGCTATTCACTTTACAGACGGTGAACCGAGTTTCACAACACCAAGAAATCCAAATTTAACGCCAATAAATCATCAATATTTAAGTGATACAGGGGATTTTCCAAGCACCTCTAGCTATAGTTTTTCTGCAATGAAGCATGGAAATGATGGTGATTTTAGTGTTCCTAAATTTTATCACATAGGGAAACATCCTAAAAGTGGAAACATAGAGAAGATTGTTGAAAAAGGAAAGGATACACCCTCAAGCTCCAATGTTTGTAACAAAATTCAAAGTAGTTCTGAAAAACCATCTAAAGAGAGCCCAAATGTGATCAAAAAAAGGAACCACCTTGAAAAAGAGAGTTGCAATCTGGGAGATGAATATTTTGAAGACGATGATGAATATGGGAAGATGGAGAAGAGTGATAAAAAGAGAAGTGCTTCCATGATGGAAGACAATGATCAAGGGCCTTCTCAAGCAGGCAGAAATGGGGACATCTCAAATGTCTCAGATGTAAATTTATCTCCCGATGATATTGTAAAAATGTTAGGACAGAAGCTATTCTGGAAAGCTAGGAAGACCATTCTGCAGTAAGTATCCTTAACTGCTTTTGCTTCAATCTCTTATGTACTTTCTCTCTCTCTCTCTCTCTCATTGTCTCACACATTTCCTTCCATTCAATTCCAGTCAGCAAAGGATCTTTGTACAGCAAATTTTTGAGCTCCATAGGTTAATAAAGGTACTTCCTAATTTTCCATACATGGCCATATTAGGAATAAGAATATTTATTTCTCCCTCCGTCGGGGTTTTGTTGTTCATTTGTTCCAACACCACAAATTTAAGGAATGAGGGAGAGTTGGGGGTTGAACTTGGGTGAGGCGTGAGAAAGTGTGGTGCTTCAACCACTTGAGCACCTCTCACCCTCACAAAGTACACTCTTTAAGGGATATTTTGGTAACTTTTCATAATTTGGTTACTAAATATACTACCTTGACAACTAAATTCGGACATCCCAAAAAGGAAATGTGGACAACTTAACCCGGACAGAGGGACTAATAATTACTTCATATTATTTATGTTTTTTTGACTGTATAACTTAACCTGGACATCTTAATATTTATCTTTTGTGGCCACTTTCTTTAGGGTAAATTTGGGTGAAATTGTTAATATTCCTGGAATTTGTGATTGTATGAAGTTGTTGAATTATGATATACGGAGTAATTATTTGAAATATTTTTTGCCAAAATAATATGAGAAGTGGCTAAAATGATCATATTGGGGAACATAAGCCAAAAGAATACTTCCTGTCATGCTTGCTAGTATTTAATATTTATACCCTATCATTCATCAAATACAATGTCTGCTTCTAATGCTTGCCAATATTTTTTAACAGGTTCAGAAAATGATAGCTCGTTCACCTGATATCTTATTTGAAGATAACTTCTATACAGGAAAATCTCTTATGACATCCTCTTCCACGAAGAAACTACCATGCACTAATGCTGTCGAACCGAAAACATATTCTTCACCAAAGACAAAGGGCATTTCGGGCAGTAGAGCAGAGAACATAAGAGATAAGAAGCCAATTCTTCACGAAGAACCTTATTCAGGATTGGCATCCCCTGCTCATGAGGCAAAATCAGGACCTTGGTGCTTACCCGCAGCAAACCAATGGCTTGTTCCCTTAAGATCTCCTTCTGAAGGGCTTGTCTACAAACCTTATTCGGGTCCTTGTCCCCCACCTGGAGCAATACTTGCCCCTCTTTACGGAGGTTGCAGGCCATTGAACATATCTTATGGGATCGGGCTTTTCCCTAGCCCGTCCGTTGGCCAGGCCTACTTTCAACCATATGCCATGCCCGTGATAAACTCATCCACACGTGATCCGAGTTTGGTGAAACCATATGGAACAAAAGCAATACATAACACATCACATGGGGCCCAGAGCGGGATCGTCTCGAATGGGGCCCACCAAAGCTTGCAGACAGATAGAGGGAGCGATTTGCAGGGAAGTACTGCAAGTAGTCCTTCTGAGAGGGACGCGCTCTCTCTTTTTCCCACCAAACCAACCGGAGAAGATTCAGACCGACCTGTCCATAATCAGAACAGCAGGCAAGCGTTTCGAGTGATCAAAGTTGTGCCTCACAAGCCCAACACAGCATCAGAATCTGCCGCTCGGATTTTCAAGTCAATACAAGAAGAAAGGAAACAACATTGACCGACTGTTTGTCACATCTCATATATACACACAGTAACTGTAGACTAATATATTAATGGCCAGTGCAGCAGTAGTTGGGTTTAACTGTGTTGTATTCATATATTTCTGCAGTGTTCATTTATCCTGATTCCATGGCAACGATAGTTGGTTTTTTATGTTTTGTCTTATCTTGGAAATACGAACGAGGAAAATGAAGATGAATGTGTTCAGAGCTCTTTAGAGCTGGGCCAACACGGAAGCTAGCACAAGTAAGCAAGCAAGGTTTCTTAAGCCTAACTTATATCCCAGGTTTCCACCTTGGCGTTGGGGTTGGCCAATATGTCTTACCCACTAGTGGACAAGCCGAACGTCATGGGCTTCCGTAATAAATATTCTTGTGGTGGGTGCCGGGCGTGTGTGACTTGTGAGGGATTTGGCATTTGAATAATAGGATTATTTAAATACTTTTTTTTTTTTGAAAAATCATTCAACCGTAACAGATGACTTATCCAATTTTTTATTTAGAAATCACCCCTAATAGGACTAAAACATTGTGTTTATCCCTAAAATAGGAGTTCATGTTTTTTATCCCCCAACTAGGACCTCTCCCGCCATATTCTTTCTTTCTCTCCCGATTTTGCCCTCCTTTTTCTTTCTGCGTCACACTTCACAATCCTGCCCCGTCTACATTACAACTCTTTGTAATACACATTACCACATTACATACTATGACACTTTACATTACAATGGTTCGTAATTCATCACCACATTACAGATTATGACACTGGTAGTATCCACATTACATACTTTACTGTACTATCATGACTTTTTTTAATTGCATATTAACCATTGAATATTTTTATTTTTTTGTTATGCATTTAAATCCAACATGTCCACAAGACAAATGATGAGACCATATGATACAACAACCAATGCTGAAAACAGAAATTTTCACAGAATGAATCCCACATGTCCACAAGACAAATGATGAGACCATATGATACAACAACCAATGCTGAAAACAGAAATTTTCACAGAATGAATCTCACATGTCCACAAGACAAATGATGAGACCATATGATACAACAATAAAGGATTTGATTTTGAAACACAAATTTCCTTAGTAATTTAATTCACATGACCACAAGAGCTCTAACCACATGACCGAATCTAATTGAATATTTAACAAATATGTAACTAGGGTTAAGAAATTCACCTAAAATACAAAATACAGCTTTGATTTCCAAATGCATGTGAAATTCTACTCAAAACTTTCTCCTTATGACAAATCTTATCAAAAATCAACCCAGCTTTGATTTCCAAATTGCTTTTCAGCGCATTTCGAGTCAACACATACCTTTTTCTTCTTTGATTCTGTCAATGTCTTCGGCCTCTGGTCTTCAAAATCATCGTCCGCCATTTTCTTCGCACTCTTCTTCTGCTCGTGCTCTATCGGACCATAATCGTATTAGCCGCGTTAGATTTCTGTGTGTTTTTATGGTAAATGCTTTAGGGCAGGATTTAGAAGGCGGTGTAGATTAGAGGGAGGGTATTTTTGGGATGGCGACGGAAATTAAGTCCTATTTGGGGGATTTAAGTTTTGAAGTCCTATTTAGGTATATTTGATAAGTTTTAGTCCTATTTCAGTTTTTTTCCCTTTTTTATTTTGTTCACATAATCTAATCCCGAAAATTTAAATTCTAATTTTAAGTCAATTTGAAATTAACTCTATTGAAATTTAATCCGAATCAAGACACTAACGTGCCTTAAAATTTGTAAATAAAAAAAAAAAACTTATTGAATTTCACTCGACCCAACTTAAAGTTTTAATTAAAATCTATCCGACCAAACTGACATTGATTCAATCAGTACGCAAGCTGACCCAACTAGGCTTCATCCAAACTAGATTTGACTCAAACCTAAAGCGAAGTATATTGAGCCAAAGTTTGCATCTTTCGAACTTAATTTGATTTAATCATGCATGTGACTGTAATACGGGTTAGTATAGAGTACTTGAGACGTAATAAACACTTAATTAAAATTGGAAGAAGCAAAGTTGGTAAAACTATAAACTGATGCATTAATAGTAACAAAATCATGTGGAATAATGAGAATATGTTAGAACCAAATACTTCTTTTAAGTCATAACAGAGACCAAAATCTGATAAAAAGTACTCTTATTTATGATAGATATTCCCTCCGTCCCGCTATATTCGTCCACTTTTGACTTTTGGAACTGTTCATCTAAGCACTTTGACTCATCAAATTCTCTCAATGTGTAAGCCTAAATATAGTCATGTGTGATCTTGTTTGATTTGTCTTAACATATAGATTATTAATATATAATTTCTATGATTTTTTAATATACAAATTACAAGATAAAATGGATTAAAGAAGTGTATTGGATGATGTGTAAAAATGAAAGTGGACAAATACTCTGGGACGAGGTAGTATTTGTTAACTCATAAAATAATTCTAATCACCCAAAATGTTATTATCAACTTCTAATGGTCTTTTTTGTAGTGCTATTTCTCCCTACCATATAAATTACTCTCTACATCCCTCTTGGTTATTTCAATTTTGACTTACATGATCTTCAATGGAACACATTGATCGTTAATATCTTTATTTATATATAGCTATATATTATAAAAATATGATATTTCAAAATTATATTTCAAGATAAACCCATTGATATTAAAGTTTTACCATAATTCAATGTATATCCTCTGTAATTTGTAATCAAAATTATAAGAAATTGACCGTGCAAGTCAAAATTGAAAGAACAAAGATAGACCGAGGGAGTATTTTGTAACTATTATGACTATTTTGATATACATTGAAAATTTAAGTGAATATAAACATATTTTATATCTATTTATTCATTAATCAATGTATCAAAAAAGGCATACTGGTCATTCAATAATTTAGACTTGCATAAGTTTGTTACTATTGATGCATTAGTTTATAGTTTTACTAACTTTGGTTCTTCACATTTCAACAAGTGTTTATTATGACTTGAGTACTCGATACTTATTACTCCGTAGTAACTCGAGTGTACTTCGGATCGGTTAATATTTGAATCAATATATTTCGAGTCAGATTCAAGTGTGAATCGGATTAAGTTTGGCTAACTTTGGATCAATATACTTCGATTTATGTTACGACTTGCCAGACCCGGTGAGCTGGATTACCTTGCTTGGTCCAAAGATTATATTCTTGGGTTTCGTGGGAAAACATTTTTTTTACAATCCTGATTTTTTTTATTTTTCATCACAAATATCTTGGTTTTTCATTGTTTTTGAAAACATGAGTACTGTCTAATTATTTTATTACTCCCTCCGTCCTATATCTTTCTTCCTGTTGCGCAAAACGAAGAAAAATCTCATGTTTTTTCAATCTATTTTATTTAAATATTGGTATAGAAATAAAAAATAAAATATACATATTTAAAAACTACATCAAAAGTTCAACAAAACAAGTGGTGACAAGAATATTTTATTTTATCATATAGGCCATGAAAAAACACAAATAAATATAAATTCCCCTAAAGTTGGAATAGTGCTCTGGAAAGAAAATTTTAGGACGGAGGGAGTATTTGAATTTCTTTGAATAGTTTCTCTTTCATTTTTTTCGTTTTTCCTAAAACATTTCCATTTTTGGAAAAAATGACTCATATATCTAAATTAAGTCGTTGCAATTCCATATTCAAATTACATTAATATAATAAGTCATTTAGATAATTAGTCAATTTTTCTTATAGTAAACATATACGGAATAATTAGAAAGTCAAATTAGAAAAATAAATTTCTCCAAAATCAAAACAATGATTTTAGGAAAGAGAGGGAGTAGTTGGCAATTCTCATCCGTAACGTATGGAACTTTACCTCCTGACTTTTAAGGCCAGTTCTTCCCTCCCCACTTCCACGCTCTCTCAGATGACCAGACTTTCCTTTGGCTCTCCCTCCCGAAATTCCGGAGGATTTCTTCATAATATTCACGGAATAAGATACGGTGGCAATATAAAAGAGGGCCGATTGCGCCATATATCGAAGGTTAGCGGTGAATATCCAGCGGCAAAGCAGAGATTCCCCTCAATTGATTTCCTTCATAAAGCGATTGTCTTTGTGGTACCCACACTCGCCCATCTATTGAGCTGAAGCCTCTTCAGCTCAGTCTCTGTGGATGTTTATGGAAAGTGAATCGGCCTCGTGATGTTCTATATTCGGTCCTTATTCTGCCATCTGAATTCTGAGCTGTGAAGAAATTACGCGTTCAGATCTTATTCTGCTCTAACACTGTTTGGTAGTTCGGAAGCAGGATTTAGGTATCTTTCCTTTTTTTTGAAACCAGCCTTGTAGATCAAATCCCTACTTTGATTTTGCAGTTCATGAGAATTTGCTTCTTTTTTTTTCCTGCTGAAATTTGAAGTCTTGAATTCGGAGTTGTTCATCTAAAGAGAAGTTTGAGTTGATAAAAGTGAAATAACGATGCTGTCAAGGGGATCATTGGAAGAGGGGAAAGACCTTTCTGTTAGATCAACAAATCAATATAAGCCTCTACCTCTAAGATTACTTCAGTTTCTTCTTTTGTTTCTGGGTATCTGTGTTGCATTTTCACTTGTTAGTATGTACACAGTCCGTTATTTTGGAATCCAGACTACAGTTCCTATGTTACAATCCGGACTTGAGTCGTGTTATCAAGAAATAAGTAGTTTGGAGAATTGGATTAGGCCTCCATCACATCTTTTGCATAATCTTAATGACACGGAGCTATTATGGCGAGCTTCGTTTGTACCACAAGTGAAGGATTATCCTTTTAAGAGAAAACCCAGGATTGCATTCATGTTCTTGACTAGAGGGCCTCTGCCTTTGGCCCCATTGTGGGAGAAGTTTTTTGAGGGAAATGAGGAGCTCTATTCAATCTACATTCATTCTTTGCCATCTTATACGCCCGATTTCAACACTTCATCAGTGTTTTATGGTCGACAAATACCTAGCCAGGTAATTTTTATTGTACAGTCATTCTATTTCCCCATTTGTTTGTTTAATATTTGAAGCATGTATCCTGAGGTTAAATATCAGTTCTATGTTGTCACAAAAATGTCATAAAATACTCTTATAGTGTAATTAAGTTTTGAAGCTTGCCTTTTAGCTTTGTATTATGTAGGCATACATTCTGTGGAATGGAAATTATGTAGTGTTTCACACACCAGAACTGAAAAAAGTTTTGTTGGGTTGTTTTTTAATTAAAACTTAAAATGGTCTTGAGATTATTTTGAAATTAAATTTTATGTTGTCACAAAAAGGTCATGATATTTAATAAGAGTGTAATTAAGTTTTAAAGGTTTCTTTTTAGCACTTAAAAGGCTCTCCCTTTAGGTATTGATGAGTTGGGGGGTTTAAAAAAAGTCTTGGTAAATCATACTATCATAGCATGCTTTTCTTTCTTTCATCCAAACTATGACTTGACCAGACATTGACCCTGATTCCTTTCTGAATGTGGTGTGCTGGCATATTTTATTGATTGCTAACTGCTTAACTAGTATGAAGCAATTTAGTACTCCATATGTTTTGGATTGGCAGCAACTCTACACTCTGAATGAATGCACTTGGAGTTCACATATATTTGTAGCTCCAGTTTTACATATTCTGCTAAACTCTTATACTTTATGAATGAGGGTCATACTTTTGAGCACTGTGAACCTTTTTGCATTCAGAGTGGCGTTTATTTCCTGCATATGTGTTCTGTTATGCATTCTGCTTGAAAACATCATTTTGTTTTTCTTCTTTATTTTTCAAATTTCTAAAAGATCCGTCGTGTTTGGTTTTCTTTTATATTCAAATTTATATTTTATGGTTTCAAAATCAGAAACATGTTTCGGAAAACAACAATAACACTATATTCCAATTTCTAATCATAACCAAAACCATAACCATAGCCATTTGATTTTGTTTTATAAAACTGAACACAGAAACACAGCTATATATCAAAGAAGCCAACACATTATCTTACTCCAAACATATTTGAACACACACTGGGAGTATTTATGTTTTCAGAAAGGTGAAGAAGAATACAAAAAACAGGTTAAAACATTTATACCCTGAACCGATCAACCGAAATAGAATTTACTACTGTATAATGAATGATTGTGATGCAGGTAGCAGAGTGGGGAAGGATGAGCATGTGTGATGCAGAAAGGCGGCTTCTTGCTAATGCATTACTTGACATATCAAACGAATGGTTTGTCCTCCTTTCTGAGGCATGCATTCCTCTTCATAACTTCAGCATTGTTTATCACTACATATCAAGATCCAGATACAGCTTCATGGGTGCTGTTGACGACCAAGGACCTTATGGGAGAGGGCGTTACAATGCAAAAATGTCACCCACGGTTAACCTAACCGATTGGCGTAAAGGGTCCCAGTGGTTTGAAGTAAACAGAAAGTTGGCCGTTGACATCATCAAAGATGAGGTTTACTACCCCAAGTTTGAGCAGTTCTGCAGGCCGGCTTGTTATGTGGATGAACACTACTTCCCCACCATGCTGAGCATGGAGTCTCCTGGCCTCCTTGCGAACCGGAGTCTGACATGGGTCGATTGGTCAAGGGGCGGGCCTCACCCCGCTACATATGGCAAGGGTGACATTACTGATCAACTGTTCAAGAAGATATCTGACAAGACATGCTTTTACAACAACCAGCTGAACAGTCTCTGCTTTCTTTTCGCGAGAAAGTTTGCTCCCAGTGCTTTGGACCCTTTGCTAGAACACTCATCCAAATTCATGGGCTTCTGAAAAAAAAGCCACTTCCTTTTTTGTGTGTATGAAATGACCATTACTATACCATACCCTTACTTGGGGTGATTACATTATTGATTCGTGCCCAGGAATGTTTCTAGTAGTAATTTAGTAGGGATGATTGCACGCCCTCTCTAATATGTCTTTCCCCGGAGTGTCATTTATTGAAGTCAAGAGTGGACAACTAAAATAGAGGAGGCTCTAGCACGCACCTCTTGTACGATGCAACTGAAGGTTCATAATTGTTCATACTTTTTCACAACCACTGCATCCATTGTTACAACCCCTCCTACATCCTGTTCACAACATCCAACCTATTCTTTGCTTATTCGAGTTTGATCTCACTCAACAACAAAAATTGAGCCAGTTTAAATTTTGTTTAAAATTTGACCTAGGTCGATCACTAGAAATTTATCTCATTTTATGATGGATTTATTCTGTCGTAAGGGGGTCCAAAGCTCTCGCTAAAATAATTTGCAATGGATCATATGATGGTTTATGAAACAGTGCAAACGAGTCGTGCTAGCAATTTATAAACCATCAAACACAAAATTTAGGCGGAGCAAGATGACATTTAAGGAAGTGATTGCAATAATTATGATATTTAGTTACTCTCTCCATGCAAAAAAATTGTTTGTTGTTGTTTACTAAGTTTGATTAAAGTTATTTTTTTTAATTCAATTTATTTGAAAATGAGTAAGGAATTAAAAATCTTGTGAATAATAAATAAACTACTTAAATTGGGATAGAAAGAGTATAAAACATAAACTTGGAAATATTGGCCAGCATCAATTCGGTTTGGTATAGTCATCCTTTTGAACTTGCTTGTCTCCATCACTTCACAAACACGGATTCGGTTCGGGCTTGAAGTTAATTTCTTCCTCATATATTGGACGGGCAAGCCCCCAATAAAACTCGAGCCAAACGTCATGCTCATACCCACCCATGAAAGTGATCCAAATAGGTCACAGGGCGGCCCAACCTACAACTTTTAAATATATAATTTTTTGAAAAAATTTTAAATCCATCAAAAAAGTTACAAAATTTGACATGAATGTTTTTATTTGCTTGTAAAATTATTTGTAGAAGTTTCATGTCAAAAATACTTGTCAATAATGTCTAAATGATTGTTTTTTAGTTTCGGCCTTGAGCTCAAGGGGTACCATCACATTTTTCAACCAAATTTTAAATTCATCAAAAAAGTTACCAAATTTGACATGGATGTTTCTATTTGCATGTAAAATTCTTTGTAAAAGTTTAATGTAAAAAAGACTTGTCAATAAGGTGTTAATTATTATAATTTTAGTTTTGGTCTCGTGCTCTTAAGGGCACCATCACATTTTTTGACTAAATTTTAAACCATAAAAAATGCAAAATTTGATATGGATTTTTCTATTTGCATGTAAAATACTTTGTAAAAGTCTCATGTCAAAAACACTTGTCAATAATGTCATTTATTTTTTTTTTAGTTTTGGCCTCGAGCTTTAGGGTTACCATCACATTTTTTGGTCAAATTTTGAATTCACCAAAAAAGTTGCCAAATATGACATGGATATTTGTATTTGCATGTAAAGTCATTTGTAAAAGTTTAAGGTAAAAAAGACATGTCAAGAACATCTAATTATTTTTTTTAGTTTTTGCCTCGAGCTCTAAGGGGTGTCATTACATTTTTTGGCCAAATTTTAAATTCATCAAAATAGTTGCAAAATTTGACATGGATGTTTCTATTTGCATGTAAAATCCTTTGTAAAATTTTAAATCTCAAAAAGAATTGTAAATAATGTCTTAATTATTTTTTTTTACTTTTGGCCTCGAGCTCTGATCTACGAGTACTATCACATTTTTGGCCAAATTTTAAATCCATCAAAGAAGTTTCTAAATTTGCATGGATATTTTTATTTGCATGCTAAATCCATTCTAAAAGTTTAATGTCAAAAAGTCTTGTCAATAACGTCTTAATTAATACTCCGTATTTTTTATGTTTTAGCCTCAAGTTCTTAGGGGTACCATCACTTTTTTGGCCAAATTTTAAATCCATCAAAAAGTTGCAAAGTCTCACATGGTGTTTCTATTTTCATGTAAAATTCTTTTTTAAAAATTTCATGTAAAAAAGACTTTCCAATAATTTCTAAATCATAATTTTTTTAGTTTTGGCCTTAAGTTCTAGGGGTTCAATAACATTCTTTGGCAAAATTTTAAATTAATAATATAAGTTGCCAAATTTGTTATCAATATTTCTATTTGCATGTAAAATTTCTTTGTAAAAATTTTCATGTAAAAAAGACTTCTCAATAAATTCTAAATCATAATTTTTTAGTTTTGGCATTAAGTTCTAGGGGTTCAATCACATTCTTAGGCCAATTTAAAATTAATAATAACAGTTTCCGAATTTGTTATGGATATTTCTATTTGCATGTAAAATCCTTTGTAAAAGTTTAATGTCAAAAAGCATTATCAATAACGTCTTATATACGTACCGATCTCGATCCAAAAGCACCATTTCGGTATGGTTTGGGATGGTTCGGTATCGGTACGAATCGGGATGAATATATACGTACCTAGTTTACATCATAAAATGTTAAAAAACCTTTTATATTTGAAAAACCTAAAGTACATTTAACCAAAGAAAGATAAAAAAATTTAAAAATGAAAAAATAAAATGCAAGAAATGCTTATGAAAGTTAATTTATATTTCACAAACTAAAGAGAGTGATAACAAAGTATTATTTCAAATATTTGTTAATATTCTTATACTCATCTACAAAAAATAAAAAAATTCTTATTAAAGTGAAACTTAAACAGAATAAATTCAAACTAAATTGTCTATTTAAATTTTTTATTCAATGAAAAAACATAAAAAGATTACTATTTTTATAATATATTAGTATATATGTTCGGTTCTGGAATTTCGGTAAGGGAAGTAACCTCGTACCGTTCCCAAATACGGTACTTTATATCGGTACTTTATATCGGTTCGGTATTCTTGTTTTTTTCGGGAAATATCAGGATTGGTTCGGTCATTGCTCACCGCTACCTAAATGTTGCAAAGTTTGATATGGATGTTTCTATTTGCATGTAAAATTCATTATAAAAATTTCATATAAACATGACTTGTCAATAATTTCTAAATTATTATTTTTTTAAATTTGGCCTGAAGCTCTAGTGATACCATCACATTTTTTGGCCAAATTTTAAAATCATTAAAAAAATTGCCAAATGTCACATGGATGTTTCTATTTGCATGTAAAATCCATGGTAAAAGTTTCATATCAAGAAGAGTTGTCAATAATGTCTAAATTATTATTTTTTTAATTTTGGCCTCAAGCTCTTGGGCACCATCACATCTTTCGGCGAAATTTTAAATTTATCAAAAAAGTCACCAAATTTGACATGGATGTTTCTATTTGCATGTAAAGTCCTTTGTAAATGTTTAATATAAAAAAGACTTTTCAATAGAATTTTCATCATTAGTTTTTTAGTTTTGGCCGCGAGCTCTTTGGGGTACCATTACATTTTTTAGCCAAATTTTAAATTTATACAAAATGCTGAAAAATTTGAAATGGATGTTTTATTTGAATGCAAAATCCTTTGTAAAAGTTGTCCTTCTTTCGAATGAGTGTTTCCATTCGCATGTTAAATTCTTTGTAAGAATTTCATGTCAAAAATACTTGTCAATAATCTCTAATATATATTTTTTTGTTTTAGCCTCGAGCTCTAGAGGTACCATTACTTTTTTTGACCAAATTTTAAATTAATCAAAAAAATTGCAAAATTTGACATGAGTGTTTCTATTTGCATGTTAAATTCTTTGAAAGAGTTTCATGTCAACAATACTTGTCAATAATCTCTTAATTATAATTTTTTTAGTTTTGGCCTCGAGCTTTGGGGGTACCATCACATTTTTTTGGCCAAATTTTAAATTAATCAAAAAAGTTGCTAAATTTCACATGGATGTTGCTATTTGAATGTATAATCCTTTATAAGAGTTTGATGTCAAAAATACTTGTCAATAATTTCTAAATTATAGTTTTTTTAGTTTTGGCTTCGAGCCTCGAACTTTAGTGGTACCATCACATTTTTTTAGCCAAATTTTAAATTAATCAAAAAATTTGCAAAATTTGACATGAGTGTTTCTATTTGCATTTTAAATTCTTTGTAAGAGTTTCTTGTCAAAAATACTTGTCAGTAATTTCTTAATTATAATTTTTTAGTTTTGGCCTCGAGCTCTAGGGTACCATCACATTTTTGGCCAAATTTTAAATCAATCAAAAAAGTTGCAAAATTTGACATGATTTTTCTATTTGCATGTTCATGTCTAAAATACTTTTCAATAATCTTTTAATTATAATTTTTTTAATTTTGGCCTCGAGCTCTAGGCGTACCATCACATTTTTGTGCCAAATTTTAAATTAATAAAAAAAGTTGCAAAATTTGACATGAGTGTTTTTATTTGCATGTTAAATGCTTTGTAAGAGTTTCATGTCAAAAATACTTGTCAATAATCTCTTAATTATAATTTTTTTAGTTTTGGCTTCAAGCTCTAGGGGTACCATCACATTTTTTGGCCAAATTTTGAATTAATCAAAAAAGTTGAAACATTTGACATGAGTGTTACTATTTGCATGTTAAATTCTTTGTAAGAGTTTCATGTCAACAATACTTGTTAATAATCTCTTAATTATAATTTTTTTTAGTTTTGGCCTCGAGCTTTGGGGGTACCATCACATTTTTTGGCCAAATTTTAAATTAATCAAAAAAGTTGCTAAATTTCACATGGATGTTGCTATTTGAATGTATAATCCTTTATAAGAGTTTGAAGTCAAAAATACTTGTCAATAATTTCTAAATTATAGTTTTTTTAGTGTTGGCTTCGAGCCTCGAACTTTAGAGGTACCATCACATTTTTTAGCCAAATTTTAAATTAATCAAAAAATTTGCAAAATTTGACATGAGTGTTTCTATTTGAATTTTAATTTCTTTGTAAGAGTTTCATGTCAAAAATACTTGTCAGTAATTTCTTAATTATAAGTTTTTAGTTTTGGCCTCAAGCTCTACGGTACCATCACATTTTTGGCCAAATTTTAAATCAATCAAAAAAGTTGCAAAATTTGACATGAGTTTCTATTTGAATGTTCATAACAAAAACACTTTTCAATAATCTCTTAATTATATTTTTTTTAAATTTTGGCCTCGAGCATTAGGG